TGTACGTGTGCTAGGACGGGCCGGCACTTGGCCACGTTCACCCGTGCACCTGGCTCGAGTCTGTACACACTGACCACTGAGTCCCCTCAGGTAGCTGCGTCTGCGTTTGCGTCTGCGTCTGGTCAGCTGGCGGCCCCCTGCGAGTGTCGCGCTTTGTCGCACGACACTCTCCTGTGGCACCACCGCCTTGGTCACCCCTCCTTGCCTCGCCTGCGTAGCATGCACTCTCGCTCCCTGGTCTCTGGTCTTCCCAGGTCCCTGCCTGCCCTCCCTCCCTCGCCTGCGCCGCCCTGCATTCCTTGCGTCGAGGGGCGGCAGCGCGCCGCTCCTCACTCCTCCTCGTTTCCTCCCACAGAGGCTCCACTGCAGACGCTCCATCTGGACGTGTGGGGCCCAGCCCGCGTCCAGGGACAGGGCCGCGAGCGGTACTTCCTGCTGGTCGTCGACGACTACACGCGTTACACCACGGTCTTCCCCTTGCAGAGCAAGGGGGACGTCCCTGCTGTTTTGATCCCCTGGATCCGCGCTGTTCGTCTCCAGCTCCGCGAGCGGTTCCGGTCGGACTTTCCTGTCCTGCGTCTGCACTCTGACAGAGGTGGTGAGTTCTCCTCCGACCTCTTGGCAGCCTACTGTGCGGAGCACGGCATCACCCAGTCGTTCACGCTTCCGGCCTCTCCGCAGCAGAATGGGGTTGCTGAGCGCCGCATTGGCTTAGTCATGGAGGTCGCTCGTACCTCCATGATCCATGCGGCTGCCCCCCATTTTCTGTGGCCGTTTGCGGTCCGGTACGCCGCGCATCAGCTCAACCTCTGGCCCCGTGTCTCCTTGCCGGAGACCTCGCCCACACTGCTGTGGACGGGGAAGGTTGGCGATGCGTCGCGTTTCCGGGTCTGGGGTGCTCGTGCCTTTGTCCGCGATACCACCGCGGACAAGCTCTCCGCCCGCGCTGTTCCCTGTGTCTTCCTTGGCTTTGTCCCTGACGCGCCTGGTTGGCAGTTTTACCACCCCACCTCGCGACGTGTCTTTGCGTCTCAGGACGTCACGTTCGACGAGTCGGTTCCCTTTTACCGTCTCTTCCCCTACCGCACTGCCTCGCTCCCCCCCCCCGCCGCTCTTCCTTGCTCCAGGTGCTCCCCAGGTAGACCCCCTCCCCGCTCCCGGTCCTGCTCCTTCAGGTGTTTCTCAGGTCGACCCTCCTCCCTTGACTGCGCCGGTTGAGGTCACTGGTGACTCAGGTCCTCCTGCGAGTGGTCCTGCTCGGGGTGCTGAGCCTGGGGGTGCGGAGCCTGGGGGTGCTGAGTCTGGGGGTACTGAGCCTGAGGGTGCGGAGCTTGAGGGTGTAGAGCCTGGTGGTGCTGAGCCTGCGTGTGAGGGGTCTGGGGGTGCTGAGCTTGGCGGTACTGACGCTGGAGGTTCTGGAGCTACTGAGGGTGCTGGCGCTGGAGGTTCAGGAGCTGCTGGAGGGCCTAGTCCTGGTGGCGCTGGAGCTGGAGGTCCTGGAGCTGTTGAGGGTGCTCGCGCTGGAGGTTCTGGAGTCGCTGGAGGTACTGGTGCTGAGGGTACTGACACCGGAGGTTCTGGAGCCGTTGGGGGTGCGGGCGCTGAGGGTTCTGAGTCTGCTGTTGCGCGGTCTCCTTGGAGTGGCCGCCTTCGTCCCCGTGTGCCTCTCACCCCACAGCAGCTGCAGGACTGGTACGGTCGCCGTCAGCGTCGCGCTGCTGGAGCTCGGAGTCGTGCTGGTCCTTTGTCTACTGGAGGTGCTGGAGTTGCTGGTTCTGGAGGGGCTCGTGCTGGAGACACTGAGGCTGGAGACCCTGGGACTGGAGGTGCTGGCTCTGGGGGTGCTGCTGCTGGAGACGCTGAGGTTGGAGACCCTGGAGCTGGAGGTGCTGGTTCTGGGGGTGCTACTGCTGGAGACCCTGCGGTTGGAGACCCTGGGACTGGAGGTGCTGGTTCTGGGGGTGCTGCTGCTGGAGACACAGAGGTTGGAGACCCTGGGACTCGAGGTGTCGGCTCTGGGCCTGGAGCTTCTGGAGCTGCTGGAGGTACTGGAGCTGCTGGAGGTACTGGAGCTGCTGGAGGCACTGGAGCTGCTGGAGCTGCTGGTTCTGGTGCAGCTGCGCCGACACGACTGTTCTTCGCTCCGCCGTCTCCGTCGTCTCTGCCGCCGTCTGCCTCTGTTCTTCGTCAGGTTCTTACTCTTCCGTCGTCTACTGGTCTTCCGTTACAGACTGGCTCGCCGCTGCCTGCTCCTTCTCCTTACGCTGAGCTGACTGGTAGTCCTGCTGTGCGTCGTGAGCCTGCGTCGCGTCCTGTCTCGCCTGCTCGTCCTGGTCGTACCGGTCCTCGTGTTCCTCGTTCGCGTCCGCCGGCTGTCCCCAGCGCGCACCTCGTAGTCCGTCGTCCTTCCTCTGTTCCGCAGCCTGTTCCTCTGCCGTCTCCTCCTGCGTCCTCTTTGCCTGACGTTCCGGACCCTGCGTCTGACCGGTTTCGTGCTCAGCACCCTACTGTCACGCGTCTACTAGCCACAGTTGTCACTGACCCGTCGTTTGAGTCTGCTGCTGCGTCTGCTCTTGTCGCTGAGCTTGTTGACTTTGCTGCTGCCTGTCGTCTAGACTTCACTGCCAGTCTTGTTACTGAGTCTGAGTCTGTCTGTCCTCCGTCCGTCGGGGGTGAGTGTGCTCTTAGCACGGACGTCCTTGAGGACAGGCAGGAGGAGTTCCAGTGCCTTGCTGCTGCTTTACCTCATCTTGTGTCCTCGCTACTTGCCCCTGAGGGAGACCCGGATGCACCAGACATCCCGACTCCGCGCTCTTACGCAGAGGCGATAGAGGGTCCCTACTCCTCTCAGTGGCAGGCAGCCATGGACGCAGAGATGGCTTCCTGGAAGTCCACAGGCACCTACGTTGACGAGGTTCCCCCACCTGGGGCGAACATCGTCAGTGGCATGTGGATTTTCAGGGTGAAGCGGCCGCCGGGTTCTCCGCCTGTCTTCAAGGCGCGTTACGTGGCTCGAGGCTTCAGTCAGCGAGAGGGAGTTGACTTCTTCCAGACCTTCTCCCCCACTCCGAAGATGACCACTCTTCGGGTGCTGCTGCACGTTGCTGCTCACCGTGACTACGAGCTTCACTCTCTTGACTTCAGCACAGCTTTCCTGCAGGGTAGCCTGCACGAGGAGATCTGGCTGCGCCGCCCCCCGGGCTTCACTGGGTCGTTCCCTCCTGGTACCCAGTGGAGCCTCCGGCGGCCGGTCTACGGTCTCCGCCAGGCGCCACGTGAGTGGCACGACACACTGAGGACTACGCTTGCGGCTCTTGGGTTTGCGCCTTCTACTGCTGACCCGTCGCTGTTTCTGCGCACCGACACTTCCCTGCCGCCGTTCTACATCCTCGTGTATGTCGACGACTTGGTTTTTGCCACTGCTGACACTGAGGCTCTCGCCCACGTGAAGTCGGAGCTGCAGAAGAGACACACGTGCACAGACTTGGGTGAGCTGCGCAGCTACCTTGGCTTGCAGATCACCCGAGACAGAGCACGTCGCACCATCACCTTGACTCAGTCACACATGGTGCAGCAGGTCCTTCAGCGCTTCGGCTTCACCTGGTCTTCAGCACAGGCCACTCCTCTGGCTACAGGTCACACGCTCTCAGCTCCACCTTCGGACGAGTCCGTAGAGCCGAGTGGTCCTTACCCAGAGCTAGTCGGCTGCCTCATGTACCTGATGACTTGCACTCGACCTGACCTCGCGTACCCTCTTGGTCTCCTGGCTCGCTACGTGGCTCCTGGTCGGCACCGACCTGAGCACATGGCTGCTGCTAAGAGGGTACTGCGTTACTTGTGCAGCACATCAGGCATGGGGCTAGTGCTTGGAGGGACGAGCCCAGTTGTCCTCACTGGGCACTCAGACGCTTCTTGGGTTGACGACCTGGCTACTCAGCGGTCGTCACAGGGTTACACCTTCAGCCTTGGCTCTGGTTCAGTTTCGTGGCGTTCTACACGCTCGACTTCAGTTCTCGGCTCCAGTTGTGAGGCTGAGATCTACGCCACCGCCATGGCTGCACAGGAGTTACGCTGGCTCACCTACCTGCTGACTGACTTGGGAGAGCAGCCTCGTTCTCCTCCAGTGCTGTACGTTGACAACAAGGCCGCCATTGCCTTGTGTGAGGAGCACAGACTGGAGCACAGAACGAATCACATTGCTCTGCGGTACTTCCTGGCTCGAGAGTTGCAGCAGCGAGGCCAGCTTCGTCTTCGCCACGTGGCCACTCGGGCCAACACTGCTGACATATTCACCAAGGCACTTCCGTCTGGTGATCATCAGCGCTTTTGTACTCTGTTAGGCCTTGTGCCTACGTTTCCACACTTGCTGTAGTCTCTGCTTGTACTGTGATCTGTACATATATATATATATATATATGCATGCTGGCTCTTGCTAGGTAGCCATCACTGTACTGTTATTGCTGCATATATATCTCTGCATGTGAACTGGCCCAGTGGCCCTTTGCTTGTGCTCAGAATGCGTGGTGACGTTGTGATCCACCCTGAGCTTGTTTTGCTTCTCTTGACTGGTCGTGTGACCCCTTGTTCTCCCCCACTTTGCCTATGGGGGTGTGTCAAACTATATGTGCTGCATATTGTCTAGGCTGTAGTGGGGTAGCCCATATGGGGTACAACTTAGTTAGGGTTTACTACTTGTACTCCTGCATCCTGTTAGTTCATCCATTCCTGCTGCTAGATTCTAACAAGGGTCTGATTCTACATCTGGCGATGCTGCTGCATCAGGCGGGGGCTCGCGTGGTGCTATGGTGGTGTCTGGTAACTCTAGCAGCAGGCGAGGCGCAGGCGACAGAGGGCTTTCAGCGCAACATGAGGAAGGATCCAAGGGGAGAGATCCTGGCTACCTTGAACCCTCAGATCCGCGAATCGCGGAGGTGAAATTGGAATGCGAAAAGGCAGTGAAGGCGCTTCGGCGGGGCAACGCTCCGAAAGCGGTGAAGCTTATGAAGGAAGCCACGGGGAAATTCTCGTCCGTTCCGCTGTGCCACCGCGTTAACGGGCACATCCACCTGAAACTCGCGAACATGATCGAGGATGCTTCCACGAAGCTGCGCCATCTACGCACCGCGTTAGAATCCGCGCTTAAAGCCACGGAACTCTCTCCGAACTCCGTCGAATACTCCCATTTCTACGCGCAGCTTCTCTTCGAAGCGGCCGACGGGCGTGACTATAGCGAAGTGCTGCGCGAGTGCGAGCGCGGGCTAGGGATCGAATCGCCGGTGGATCCGGCGAAGGAGAGCCTCCAGGAGGAGAGTCAGCAGGAGCTGGCGACGCCGGCGGAGCGCGTGACGCACGTGCAGAACGAGCTGCGCGGGTTGCAGCAGGAGGCGAACATCGCGGCGTTCAAGAACATCTGGCGGAGCTTCGGCAACGGCGCGGACGAGCGATTTAAGGTCATGCAGGTATGGGAGAGGCTGTCTTGAATGCCGCAGGGTATTGATAGTCGATTAAAGTATTTGCCAGTATATGCCAGTCGTGTAAAGTTCGAGGTATTTGGAGGTGATTGAAATGATGTTCAAGCATTTTCGCATTGTTCAACTGTTTTTGTCAGAGAAAGAAAGGCCAGTAGAAAGTAAGCAGCAGCTTCTAGGGAATGAGACCGGCTAAATTTTCCACTTCGAGGAAGCTCCTCTTCCCCCATTCCTCCTTCCCCTGTCCTCGGACGTTCCCGTTCCCCCTCAACCCCCCTCCCCCTTTCCCCCCCACTCTTCCCCCCGCGTCTCGCTTGAAAGCAGGTGAAGAAGATCTCAGACAACCCCTTCGAGCCGCGCTCATCGCTGCCGCCGCGCCGCATCCACAAGACGCTGGAGGAGCGCCGTCAGGAGATCGAGGTGCGGGTCACTGCCGCGCGCCTGCTGCAGGAGCAGGGGCAGGGGCAGGGGCAGGGGCAGCAGCAGACGGATCAGGAGCCGGAGCTTCTGCGTCCGCTTCGGATGCTGCACCTGGCTGCGCTTCCTCTTCCGCGGAGGAGGAGAATGCAGGGGTGAAGGACGCGGGTGGGGGGAAGAGGCGGGGGGGACAGGACGGGGCGAAGCTGCTGGGGGAGGTATTGGCGGGGAGGCTCGAGGCGGGGGCGCAATTGGCTATAGAGGGGAAGGTGGAGAAGGCGCTTGGGCAGGAGGAGAAGTCTAAGATTCTGGAGATTCAGAAGGCTGACGTGTGCGATGGCCTTGCCAGGTCAGCACGCAGCGGGAAGGGGTCGGGGGTGGGGAGTGCGGGCGGTTGGGGAGGCACAGGAGGTGGAGGGGGAGGGGACGGGGGAGGTCGCGGAAGAGGGGGAGGGGAGGGAGAAACGGAGGGAGAAAGGGAGGGAGCAGAGGAGGGAGCAAGAGAGGGAGCAGAGGAAGGAGCGGAGAAGATAGTAGGAGTGGGAGTAGAGGAGGGAGGTGTGGATATTGAAAAGAGAGTGGCCGCTGCTCTAGGCGAGACAAAGGGTGGCAGTGAGGAGGAAAAGAAGGGAATTATTATATGGGATTTTGGATTATCAAAAGAAACAGACGAGGAGGAAGGTGAGGTGGAAGGTAAGGAGGTGGGTTGTGGCAGGGATGGAGAGGATGAGGAGGAGGAAGAAGAGGAAGAAGAGGAGGAGGACGAGGAGGAGGAAGTAGAGGAGGTATGTGATAACAAGTCGGGAGCTGAGGAAGGGTGGATGGCTCAGGAAGGAGATCCTTCTCGGATCGAACTGCAAGAGGATGACAAGGAAAGAACGAGTGAGCATGAGGTGGCGAGGATGCAGGATGAACAGAGAAGTTAAGCAGGCGGAGAACGGTGAAAAGTATGGCAGTGGCACTCTTCCGGAATTCGGCAAAGGTTCGTGAAAAGAATGAGATGATTGATCTGTTTTACCAATGCCGTCGCCTCCGCTACGTTAGCGGATGCGCTGGAAACGCTGCAATTGATCAAGAAGGCATGCAGGGAAAGCATTCCCCGGGACAAATTCGTCGGTGCCATGCGTGTCTTAGGGATTTTCCGACTTTAAAGAACGAAGGGAGTAACAATCAGTGGCAGAATCAAGGTTAAAGATGGTTAAGAACAAATGAATCTGTCAAGACGGAGGCTAGAGAAGACCCAGCACTCATCCTCGTCTGCCCGGCGCACACTAGGGGCCGCTGGTGGATAAAAAGATGGGGTGAGAAGCTGGAATATTTCCCTAACAACAATTGATTGATATCAACCTACTACCACTACTGCTGCCTACTGGTACAAGCCATCCAAGTGGTGATCAGGCACCCTCCTTGCATTGGAAGGGGAAGCAAGACCTGAGTGGGTTGGGTTGTGCGAACTGGTGGTTTGGGGCACGGAGCAAATTCCAGGAGAGCTTTTTAGGAAATCTGAAAAGGTTCATAATGGTTTATCATGATACATCAAACCATTTGAGGTAGCTGGTTTCATTTATTGCACTACCACAGTACAGGTCATAAACGGTGCAGTATTATCGCATATAGGAGTGCCCGCAAGGAAATGTTTTTCCCACAACCACCTCACACTTTCAGAACTGACAGGATGAGCGATGAGCGTGGCGCTGCTATAAATTCAGACAGTGTTTATCTGCTCGCTTGTGTGAAGCGCCGAACATGGAAGTTGTTTTGAAACTTGTAGTCGAAAAATCGTTCATCAAGCAGGAAACCACATGAGAACTGCTGAGAGCATACCTCCCCTGCACCCACCCTCGTTTATGGAAACGCAGATCTGCCCAGAAACACCACGCTCTGAGGTGGTGAAGCCACTTCCTGCCCAGTGACTTCACCACTTCAACCCGCAGATCCATGGGTCATTCGTGAAATTTTGAAGGGGTCTTTTGGAGATCTTGAGGTAATTGCAGCTCTCTAGGGTTTTCCGCAAAACCATTTCTAGGTCTCTAGGGCCTGCAAAGTCCAGCTTTGTTGCGTTGCGTCATTCAAAAGCTTCTATACGTCCTTAGTCAATCGCGAATAATCGCTTTGTATACTGTTGGATGACGATTTGATTGTTGTACAATAGGCGCGTTGTACGGAAGCATAGCGGTTACAAGGAATTTCACAAGCATCATGCGGTTAACTTTTTAAGCTGTGATCAGGCTGAATTACTGCAATTCATTCCACGAAATCACGTATCATGGGTCGGAAACGGCCATCGAAGGCCGGATCTGGCTCGTCTCAGGTTGCCGACTCCACATCCGGCGATGCCGCTGCATCAGGCGGAGGCTCGCGTGGTGCTATGGTGGTGTCCGGTAGCTCTAGCAGCAGGCGAGGCGCAGGCGACAGAGGGCTTTCATCGCAACAGGAGGAAGGATCCAAGGGGAGAGATCCTGGCTACCTTGAACCCTCAGATCCGCGATTCGCGGAAGTGAAATCGGAATGCGAAAAGGCAGTGAAGGCGCTTCGGCGGGGCAACGCACCGAAAGCGGTGAAGCTTATAAAAGAAGCCACGGGGAAATTCTCGTCCGTTCCGCTGTGCCACCGCGTGAACGGACACATCCACCTGAAACTCGCGAACATGATCGAGGATGCTTCCACGAAGCAGCGCCATCTACGGACCGCGCTAGAATCCGCGCTTAAAGCCACGGAACTCTCTCCGAACTCCGTCGAATACTCCCACTTCTACGCGCAGCTTCTCTTCGAAGCGGCCGACGGGCGTGACTATAGCGAGGTGCTGCGCGAGTGCGAGCGCGGGCTGGGGATCGAATCGCCGGTGGATCCGGCGAAGGAGAGCTTGCAGGAGGAGAGTCAGCAGGAGCTGGCGACGCCGGCGGAGCGCGTGACGCACGTGCAGAACGAGTTGCGCGGGCTGCAGCAGAAGGCCAACATCGCGTCGTTCTCGACGATCTGGCGCAGCTTCGGCAACGGCGCGGACGAGCGGTTCAAATTTTTGCAGGTATGGGAGTGACTGTGTATGATGAGGCGCCTAAAATAGCAAAAGGCTCTTCAAAAAGCAGAAGACGAACATCGTATCGTTCTCCACCATCTGGCGGAGCTTCCGCTTTTGAGGCGCCTTAAAAACATCTGGCGCAGCTTCGGCAACGGCGCGGACGAGCGGTTCAAGTTCCTGCAGGTATGGGAGAGTCCCTGGAAGGTGGGTGGGAGGGACAGTGGGAATTCAGGTTCCTGCAGGTATGGGACAGATCGTGTATTCATGAGGCGCCTCAAAAAGCAGAATGCCAGCATCGCGTCGTTCTCCACCATCTGGCGCAGCTTCGGCAACGGCGCGGACGAGCGGTTCAGATTTTTGCAGGTATGGGAGAGAGAGGCGGTGGAAGTTGTTGCAGGTGTTTGGTTGTTGACGGCACTAGATAGAAAGGGGGGATTTACGTTTCTGCAAGTGTGTGACAGATGGTGAAAGTTCTTGGGGAATTGGATAGACATTAAAAAGGAATTTCCAGGCATTTTTCAACTGGTTTAAGTCTGAAGGTACTTGATTAGTGGAAAGTTCTTGCAGGCATTTGATCCGCGGTGGGCTGTTTTGGCAGATGCTTAGCAACTAGGGAGCAGCTTCCAGGAAGTGATTGAGGATATTACTCTCTGATCACATTGAAATTGGTCGCGTTTGAAAAAACCCTCTTCCCTCTCTCCTTCAGCCAATAATTCCATTTACTTTACTTTAATGAATAGCAGATGAAGTAGATCCGGATTCCGGATAGGCGCGTCAACATTACGAATATGCTTAGGAGTGAGAGGCGCTAGTGTGGTGCCTTCCCCCGTCACCGCTTCTCAGGCCTCCGCCCTTCCCTCTTCCCCACCCCCCTCCCTCTTCCCCCCTTCTCAGACGACCCTATCGAGCTGCGCTCGTCGTCCTCCGTTCCTCCTCTCCCCTTCCTCAGACGTTTCCCGTTCCCCCTCCCCTCTCCCCCCCAACCCCACCCCACTCCCCCCTCCCCCCCACTGCTCCTCCAAAAGCAGGTGAAGAAGATCTCAGACGACCCCATCAAGCCCCGCTCGTATTATCCCGCTTCCCCACTCCTGCCCTCCCTCCCTCTTCCCCACTCTCCTCCCTCTTTTCCTCTTCTCGTTCAAAAGCAAGTGAAGAAGATCTCAGACGACCCCATCAAGCCCCGCTCGTATTATCCCGCTTCCCCACTCCTGCCCTCCCTCCCTCTTCCCCACTCTCCTCCCTCTTTTCCTCTTCTCGTTCAAAAGCAAGTGAAGAAGATCTCAGACGACCCCATCAAGCCCCGCTCGTATTATCCCGCTTCCCCACTCCTGCCCTCCCTCCCTCTTCCCCACTCTCCTCCCTCTTTTCCTCTTCTCGTTCAAAAGCAAGTGAAGAAGATCTCAGACGACCCCATCAAGCCCCGCTCGTATTATCCCGCTTCCCCACTCCTGCCCTCCCTCCCTCTTCCCCACTCTCCTCCCTCTTTTCCTCTTCTCGTTCAAAAGCAAGTGAAGAAGATCTCAGACGACCCCATCAAGCCCCGCTCGTATTATCCCGCTTCCCCACTCCTGCCCTCCCTCCCTCTTCCCCACTCTCCTCCCTCTTTTCCTCTTCTCGTTCAAAAGCAAGTGAAGAAGATCTCAGACGACCCCATCAAGCCCCGCTCGTATTATCCCGCTTCCCCACTCCTGCCCTCCCTCCCTCTTCCCCACTCTCCTCCCTCTTTTCCTCTTCTCGTTCAAAAGCAAGTGAAGAAGATCTCAGACGACCCCATCAAGCCCCGCTCGTATTATCCCGCTTCCCCACTCCTGCCCTCCCTCCCTCTTCCCCACTCTCCTCCCTCTTTTCCTCTTCTCGTTCAAAAGCAAGTGAAGAAGATCTCAGACGACCCCATCAAGCCCCGCTCGTATTATCCCGCTTCCCCACTCCTGCCCTCCCTCCCTCTTCCCCACTCTCCTCCCTCTTTTCCTCTTCTCGTTCAAAAGCAAGTGAAGAAGATCTCAGACGACCCCATCAAGCCCCGCTCGTATTATCCCGCTTCCCCACTCCTGCCCTCCCTCCCTCTTCCCCACTCTCCTCCCTCTTTTCCTCTTCTCGTTCAAAAGCAAGTGAAGAAGATCTCAGACGACCCCATCAAGCCCCGCTCGTATTATCCCGCTTCCCCACTCCTGCCCTCCCTCCCTCTTCCCCACTCTCCTCCCTCTTTTCCTCTTCTCGTTCAAAAGCAAGTGAAGAAGATCTCAGACGACCCCATCAAGCCCCGCTCGTATTATCCCGCTTCCCCACTCCTGCCCTCCCTCCCTCTTCCCCACTCTCCTCCCTCTTTTCCTCTTCTCGTTCAAAAGCAAGTGAAGAAGATCTCAGACGACCCCATCAAGCCCCGCTCGTATTATCCCGCTTCCCCACTCCTGCCCTCCCTCCCTCTTCCCCACTCTCCTCCCTCTTTTCCTCTTCTCGTTCAAAAGCAAGTGAAGAAGATCTCAGACGACCCCATCAAGCCCCGCTCGTATTATCCCGCTTCCCCACTCCTGCCCTCCCTCCCTCTTCCCCACTCTCCTCCCTCTTTTCCTCTTCTCGTTCAAAAGCAAGTGAAGAAGATCTCAGACGACCCCATCAAGCCCCGCTCGTATTATCCCGCTTCCCCACTCCTGCCCTCCCTCCCTCTTCCCCACTCTCCTCCCTCTTTTCCTCTTCTCGTTCAAAAGCAAGTGAAGAAGATCTCAGACGACCCCATCAAGCCCCGCTCGTATTATCCCGCTTCCCCACTCCTGCCCTCCCTCCCTCTTCCCCACTCTCCTCCCTCTTTTCCTCTTCTCGTTCAAAAGCAAGTGAAGAAGATCTCAGACGACCCCATCAAGCCCCGCTCGTATTATCCCGCTTCCCCACTCCTGCCCTCCCTCCCTCTTCCCCACTCTCCTCCCTCTTTTCCTCTTCTCGTTCAAAAGCAAGTGAAGAAGATCTCAGACGACCCCATCAAGCCCCGCTCGTATTATCCCGCTTCCCCACTCCTGCCCTCCCTCCCTCTTCCCCACTCTCCTCCCTCTTTTCCTCTTCTCGTTCAAAAGCAAGTGAAGAAGATCTCAGACGACCCCATCAAGCCACTCTCGTCGCTGCCCCCTTCCTGCCTTCAATCCTCCACCCTCCCCTTTTCTACTCCCCTCCCCCTTCCCCCTTGTATCGCTCAAAAGCAGGTGAAGAAGATCTCAGACGACCCCATCGAGCCGCGCTTTTGTTTTCCCCTTCCTCTTCTCCCCCTTTCTCAGACGTCCCGTTTCCACCCTCCCTCCCCCTTCCCCCCCGCTCTTCCCACCCTCACGCCCAAAAGCAGGTAAAAAAGATCTCAGATGATCCGATCGAGCCGCGGTCGTCGCTGCCTCCGCGCCGCATCCACGAGGTGAAGCGCGTGGTGCGCACGCTGGAGGAGCGCCGCCAGGAGATCGAGGTGCGCGTCACGGCCGCACGCCTGCTGCAGCAGCAGCAGCAGCAGCAGCAGCTGCAGGGGCAGGGGCAGGGGCAGGGGCAGGGGCAGGGGCGGACGGAGGCGGAGGTGGAGCTTCCGCGTCCGCCTCGGATGCTGCGCCTGGTTCCGCGTCCGCGCGCGGGGAGCGGAAGGGGGACGCGGAGGAGGACGGCGCGGGGGGGAAGGATGGGGCGGGGGGGAAGCGGCGGGGGGGGCTGGACGGGGCGAAGAGGCGGAGGGAGGTGCTGGCGGGGAGGCGCGGGGCCAGGGCGCAATCCGCTATAGAGGAGAAGGTGGAGAAGGTTCGGCCGTTTTGGAAGGCGCTGGGGCAGGAGGAGAAGGATAAGATTCTGGATATTCCCATTGCTGACGTGTGCGAGGGCCTTGCCAAGTCAGCACGCGGCGGGAAGGGGGCGGGGGTGGGGAGTGCGGGCGGAGGGGGAGGCGCAGGAGGGGGAGGCGGAGGGGGAGGGGAAGGGGGAGGCGGAGGCGGAGGAGGAAGAGGGGGAGGGCATGTATCTGGTATCATCAGCAGCGGTGGTGGTAGCGTTGGCTTGGGGGGGGAATCGGCGGTGTCAGCTGCGGCAGCAGCAGCGGCAGCAGAGGCTTATGTCAGAAGCGCTGAGTTTTGCCAAGGAGAGGAAACACTGGCAGTTCTGGGCGTGCTGCCTGTGTGACGAGAGGTTCATAGACGCGGAGTCGTTCCAAGCGCACATGCAGGAGGAGCATATAGGAAAGCTGAGTGCGGAGCAGGAGAGAATGATTCCCGAGGAGGAGGCGCTGTCTTGGGAGGAGATTTTTACAAGGCTGGATGTTACACCTGTGGATGGGATTGAGGCGGTGAGGAGGCTTGTAGAGGGGATGAGTGGGGCGGGTGGGGTGGGTGGGGAGCGGGGTGGGAAGGGTGTGGAGGGGACGAAGGGGAAGAGGAAGGGGAGTGAGGAGGGTGATGAAGGCGGGGAGAAGGAGGAAGAGGAGAAGAAGGGGGGGAAGGAGGAGGAGGAGAAGAAGGAGGGGAAGGAGGAGGAGGAGAAGAAGGAGGGGAAGGAGGAGGAGGAGAAGGAGGGGAAGGAGGAGGAGGAGAAGGAGGAGGAGAGGGATGAAGCGTGTGCGATGGAGCTTGATGGGGAGGGAACAGAGGAGGGAGAAGCGGAGGGAGCAAAGGAAGGAGTAGAGAAGGGAGCGGAGAAGGGAGAAGGAGAGGGAGCAGAGGAGGGAGATGTGGATATTGAGAAGGGAGTGGCTGCTGCTCTAGGCGAGACTATAAGTGGCAGTGAGGAGGGGAAGAAGGGGGGCAGTTCGGGGGATATGGGATCCGGAAAGGTTTCAGGCGAGGAGGAGAGAGGGGTGGATGGTGTTGGGGAAGGTAAGGAGGTTAAAGTGGGTGGTGGCAGGGATGGTCAAGAGAACGGTGCGGGAGAGGATGAGGAGGAGGAGGAGGAAGATGAGGAGGAGGAGGACGAGGAGGAGGAGAAGAAGAGGTAGGTGAAAGCAAGTTGGGAACAGAGGAAGTTGCTGCAGGGGAAAAGGGATGTGTCACTGAAAAAGAAGCAGCAGCAGCGGCAGCAGCAGCGGCGGCAGCGGCGGCGGCAGCGGTGGCAGCAGCAGAGGGTTGCAGGCACTGCGGGGAGTCGTTGCAGTGCCGGCGGCACGCGAGGGCGCTGCCAGTAGTGCAGGACAGGGAGCGGCAGCGGGAGCTGATGCGGCTTAAGCATATAGTGGAGCGCATGCTTAAAGCGGGGATACTGACGCGCGACCACATGGCTCGTATGGTGCAGTATACCATGGTGCAGGTGCAAGCCATGGCGGAGAGGGCTTTAGAGGCGCCTGCCACGCCTCAAAAGTCGTTGCAGGTGCAAGGCGTGGCAGAGAGAGTGCAGAAAGATTTGGCAGAGAGCGGGGGGAGTAGTGCAGGTAGAATGGAAGAGAAGGGTGGGGAGAAGGGAGAGAAGGGAGAGAAGGGAGAGAAGGGTGGAGAGGAGAAGGGAGAGAAGGGTGGGGAGGAGAAAGGAGAGAAGGATGGAGAGGAGGCGGGTGCAGCTGTTGCGGCTGTTGGGGATGGTGTGAGCAGTGGTTGTGATGGCGATGCTGCTTCTGGAGTTGCGCTTTCTGCGTCTGATGCTGCAGCTGCTGATGCTGCTGTTGTGTCTGGTGCTGCTGCTGCGTCTGATGCTGCTGCTGCGTCTTGTGCTGCTGCTGCGTCTGGTGCTGCTGCCGCTGTTGATGCTACTGCAGCTGTTGGTGCTGCTTCCTCGCTCACCACTGCTTCTGCGGAAGTTCCTGCTGCTGCTGCTCCTGTTTTTGACGCTGTTGCTGCCGCTGTTGCTGATGCTGTTGCTGCTGCTCTTGCTGACTCTGTTGCTGCCTCGCGCACCACTGCTTCTGCGGAAGGTTCTTCTACTGCTGCTGCCATTGTTGCTGACGCTGTTGCTGACGCTGCTGCTGCTGCTGCTGCTGCTGTTGCTGCCTCACTCACCACTGCTTCTGCAGAAGCTTCTTCTGCTGCTGCTGCTGCTGCTGCTGCCGCTGTTGCTCACGTTGTTTCTGACGCTATTGCTGCCGCTGTTGATGATACTGCAGCTGATGCTGCTGCTTCCTCGCTCAGCACTGCTTCTGCGGAAGCTTCTTCTTCTGCTGCTGCCGCTGCTGCTGACGCTCTTGCTGCCATTGTTGCTGACGCTGCTGCTGCCGCTGCTGCTGCTGCTGCTGCAGCTGCTGTTGCTGCTGCTGCTGCTGCTGCTTCCGCGCTCACCATTTCTTCTGCTGCTGCTACCACAGGGGCTGCAGGGGAGGAGGCAGCGAGGGAGGGGGAGGCTGAAAAGGAGCGCCTGGGGAAGGCAGTATCTGGAGGGGATTCCATGGGAAAGGAGCCACATGAAGATTCAGGTGAAGGTTCAAATGACGTCTCAGATGAAGATTCACTCAAGTGGCCGGATAAGGACGGGCTCGCCAAGGAGCAAATGGAGGAGGGAGCATGTAAGGAACGTTCCTTAGGCACGAATTTTGAGGAAGAAGGGACTCACAAGGCGTCTCGTAAAGGGTCTCTTGCTCGCCCCCCAGTCACATTCACCCCGTCGCCAGTCTTTGTGCGTTTCCTGCCAGCGCGCGACATACAGGAGCTCCAGGCGTACCTGCTAGAAGCGGAACAGGGGGCGTACTATAACGAGAACAAGGAGGCTGTGCTGCCGGACAGGCTTCTGCTTGATGAGGAGTTCACGAGAATCATTCTAGATGAACGTGTGTTGAAGGATGTTGCGGAAGAGCCGAAGCTGCCTTTCAGGGATGCTGTAGGGGGGAGGGTGGAGGCGGGAGGGGGGGATGGAGGGAAGGAGGGAGCGGGAGAGGGAGGAGGGAAGGGGGGTGCTGCCGACGGTGGTGACTCTGGGGATGCTGACGGTGGTGGTAGGGCTAAACAGGGGGGAGAGCAGGAGGGAAACGAAGCTGGGAAGGAGGTGAAGGGAGAGGGACAGAAGGAGGGGAAGGGAGAGGGGCAGAAGGAGGGGAAGGGAGAGGGGCAGAAGGAGGGGAAGGGAGAGGGGCAGAAGGAGGGGAAGGGAGAGGGACAGAAGGAGGGGAAGGGAGAGGGGCAGAAGGAGGGGAAGCAGAAAGACGGTAAGGGAGAGAAGGGACAGAAAGACGGGAAAGAGGAGGGGGGGCAGAGGGACGGGAAAGAGGAGGGGGGGCAGAGGGACGGTAAGGGAGAGGCGGGTGAAGAGGCGAAAGCAGCATCGGATGGCGAGGAGAAGGGGGGGGAGGAGGAGGAAAAGGATGAGAAGGGGAGAAAGAGGAGAAGGAGGAAGGGGGGAGGAGGAGGAGTTGACAGTTGCTGTGCCTGAAGACCCGAGCATGAAGTGGCCTCTGCCCCTCATGCGCGTGCGGAGAGGCGAAGGGGCAGCGGGAGGAGCAGGGGGGCCGGTGAGTGGGGGAGCACAAACAGCAGCAGGAGGGGGCGGAGGGGCGGGACCCAGTGCTGGTGCCCCTGCTTCTGGTGCCGGTGCAGGTGCTGGTGGTGGGGTTGGGGGTGGTGGTGGTGCTGGTGGTGGTGGTGGTGCTGCTGCTGCTGCTGCTGCTGCTGACGTGCCCAAACATGAGGATCTGCAGCTTGCTTGGATCTTTGGGCGAATGGATTACGAGATGGCAGCGCCAGCGTGGCGGAGTGCTTATAAAGAGGGCCTGGAGAAGGCGAGGGAGGTGATGGAGGGGCTAGATACGGAGTACAACTCGTTAAAGTCACAGTGCGATAGAAGGATAGAGCTGGGGATCGCGGAACGGAAGTTGAGGAAGATAGAGAGGTTATTTGAGAAGGAGAGGAGGCGGAGGGAGAGGGACCCGGGGTATGTGAAACGGTTTGCGAGTGTGCTTAAAAGGAGGATGGCGGATCTGGCAGAAGCGGAAGAGGAGGCTTTGAGGGGGATTGCGGATGAGGAGGCAAGGGCAGCGGAGGAAGGGCGGGGGAAGGGCGGAAGGGGAGGAGGGGACGCGGAGAAGAGAGAGGAGGGGGGTAAGGAAGCGGGTGGGGAGGGGGATAAGGAGGAGGCGGTGGAAAAGAGAGGAGAGGAGGGGGATGTTGATGAGGGGATGGCTTTGCTGGGTGGTGGGGAGAGGAAGAGAGGGGGAGAGAGGAGGGATGCGAAAGTGGGGGAGAAAGAAGGAGAGGGGGATGACGGGAGTGAGGGGGGTGAGAGGGGAGGGGTAGTCGCAGGGAGTGAGGTGAAAGAGGGTTTCAAGGAAGGGGAGGGTGAGGGTGAGAAAGGGGCGGATGGGGTGAAAGGAAAGGATGGGGCAGGCGAAGAGGTGGGAGGGAAGGAGGAGGAAGGGGAAGGGGAGGGGAAGGAGGAGGGAAAAGAGGAGGGAAAGGAGGACGAGGTAGAGGGGAAGGAGGAGGGGGAGAAGGGGAAGGAGGGCGTGGAGAGGGGGGAGAAGAAGCAGGCAAAGCGGAAGGTGTGGACGGAGAGGAGGCTGCGGGCGAATAAGATCGAGACAAGTGTCATTCGCAGCCTGCTCAGCGATTACCAGACGGCGCTGTTTAGCGAGGTGAGTGAGAGGTTAGAGGCCTGAGCGGTTGCGAGAGGCATTGAGTTGAGGTGAGAGGCATCAAAAGCCTGCGCATCGAGTACGAGACTGCGCTGTTCAGTGAGGTGAGTCCATGAGAGACGTTGAATTGATTTGAGAGGCATCAAAAGCGCGTTGAGTGATTATCAGAGTGCTCCGCTCAGTGAGAGTTTGCATCAAAGACAGGCCTCTCACCTCACTGAGCAAGAGGTGCATGAGGTCTATCTGGAAGATAATCTGTTTCTCTCCTCTCACCTCCTCTCACCTCCTCGCACCTCCTCCGCTCTCCTTTTCTTCCTCCACCCCCCTCCCCTCTCTTCTGCCACCCCTACTTCCCTTCAGCCTTGCATGCCGTTTGGGTTCTGCTCTCTCTGGCGCCCTCCCATCTGGCTGGCTGCCACCACCTCTCATCTCCTCCCCACCTCTTTTTGAGCCGACTCAAAATTTTGAGTCTATTTTTGAGTCGACTCAAAAATTTTGAGTCTATTTTTGAGTCGACTCAAAAATCGACTCTCTCTGGCGCCCTCCCATCTGGCTGGCTGGCACCACCTCTCATCTCCTCCCCACCCCCGCAAACATTCTTCCCCTTCCCCTCCCCTCCCCTCCCCCTCTCCCTCCCCCCTCCCCCCTTCCCCTTCCCCTCCCCCTTCCCTCTTCCCCGCGCAACCTCGCATGCCGTGTGGCGACCTGCTCTCCCTCGCGGCCTCTCATCTGGCCGGCACGTCCTCTCCCCCACCTCAGACCACCCAATCGTTCTTCCCCTCCCTCCTCTCCCTCCTCTCCCTCCTCCTTCCCCTCCCCCTCCCCCTTCCCCTCCCGCTCCCCCTTCTAACTTCCCCGTGCAGCCACGCATGCCATGTGGCGATCTGCTCTCTCTCGCGCCCTCCCATCTGGGCGGCACCGATTCGGATGAGGACGAGCACGACAGCTGGCGCGGGCCGGAGTTTGCCGCCCAGCTGGACCTGCGCATGGAGGGCGCGATTCGGAGCCACAGGAGCAGCATTCTGGCAGAGGTGGGGTTTGGTTACAAGAGGGGTTTAGTGTGAGAGGGTTTAGCGTTTGACCCTGGAATGGTGGAGGGGTTTTATTTTTGGCCGTGGAATGTGAGGGGTTTAGCATTTGACTCTGAAATCTCAGAGGAAAGGACAGCAGTGAGGGATTTAGCATTACTTTGAAGCTTGGTATGTGTGTGAAAGAGAGAGAGAGGGTGTGTGATGGGCTGTGAACCCCTCCGTGCACCTCCGTACCCTCTTCCTCCACCCGGATTTGTCCTACCCTCTTCCTGCACAAGGAGCAAGCAGAGGAGAGGATCCAATGTCATCTGGAGGTGGTGCAGAGGTTTATTGAATGGTACCCTCCGTCCTTACCACTGTTCCCCATACCATCCCGAGCAGAAGGAGCAGGCGGAGGAGAGGATTTTGTGCGATCTGGAGGCGGTGCAGAAGGCCAACGCCAAGCTCCACCCCTTCCCACACCACTCCACCCCTTCCCACACCACTTAACCCTCCACTGTCTCGAGCAGAAGGAGCAGGCAGAGGAGAGGATCCTGTGTCATCTGGAGGCAGTGCAGAAGGCCAACGCGAAGCTCCACCAGGCGTCTGTGTTTGACTACCGTGCTGCCATGCTGCCCATCGTCAAGACCTTCCTGCAGGTAGGGATGGTGCTCTGAGGTATGTGTGTATGTTGCTACCTGGTGAATGCTGCTGCCAGTGGTTGCTACGCGTGTTCTCAATGGAGTGCGCACACGATTTAGCTCCACCAGGCGTCTGTGTTTGACTACCGTGCCGCCATGCTGCCCATTGTCAAGACCCTCCTGCAGGTGGGGCAGTGTTGCGAGGTATACATGGTGCTGTCAGGTGTGCTGTGTGGTGCTGGTGGTGAGTGTTTCTCTCTCCCAGTAGACACGGCGGGCATGCTCAATGGGGTGCCCAAACGAGCTCCACCAGGCGTCTGTGTTTGACTACCGTGCCGCCATGCTGCCCATCGTCAAGACCTTCCTACAGGTGGGGTATGCATGGTGCCGCCAGGTATGGTGAGTAATTGGTGCTCTGATCCAATTTGCCGCTTTTTGGGGCGCCCCAAAACGCTCATCAAAAGTTGTGATGCTCTTTATGTCAAGGCAATCTGCAAGTGTGAGGGTTTAGGGTTTTGACCTAATGTGCTGGTTTATATTTTGAGACGTCTCAAAACATCTCTTTGATCACCTGCAAGTGCGAGGGTTTAGGGTTTTGACCTAATGTGCTGGTTTATATTTTGAGACGTCTCAAAACATCTCTGTGATCACCTGCAAGTGCGAGGGTTTCGGGTTTTGACCTAATGTGCTGGTTTATATTTTGAGACGTCTCAAAACATCTCTTTTATCACCTGCAAGTGTGAGGGTTTTGGGTTTCGGGTTTTGACCTAATTTACTGGTTTATATTTTACATGGGCATTCTGTTTTTGTTATCATTCTTGATTTCCAGAATCGCCTCGAGCAAGCAGCGGAGCAGGACGCGCAGAAACGTTCCGACGCTGCCCAAGAGGCGTTCCTTGCTGAGCTGGACAAGCAGGGGCAGGTGGAAAAAAACCGGGAGAAAAAGAAGGGCAAGGAGCGTGCCAAGAGTGGGAAGGGTGGTGGTGGGGGAGGAGGGGCGGGGGGGGAGCAGGAGGAGGAGGGGGAGGAGGAGGAGGAGGAGGAGGAGAGGGAGAGAGTAGTGGTAGGGCTGCAGGAGCGGAAGGAGGAGGGGAGGGTGAAGGAAGAGAGGTAGGGAGCAGTAGTCAGCTGGGGGATAAGGACATGGAGGGAGGGAATGAGGGCGAGGAGGAAGGGGAAGAGGGGAGAGAAGGAAAAACGGAGAAGCATTTGAGGCAGGCAGGGGGGGAAAGAGACGGAGAACGAGGAGAGAGGGAGAAGAGAGAGAAGAGAGAGAGGGAGAGGGTGCGGGAGAGAGAGAAGGAGAGGGGACGGGAGAGGGTGCCACAGAGTGCAGCAGAGAGGGAGGAGGAGGCTCAGAGGCGAAGGGAGCAGCAGGAGATTCTGAGGCAGCAGCAGGAGATGGAGGACGAGGAGAGGAAACTGGAATGGGCTTTGTCTCTCCAGAGGCAAGCTGAGGAGGCGGCGAAACGGCAGAGAATGGCAGAGTTGGAACGGATCAGGCTGATGGGTGGTGGTGGTGAGGCTAAGTCAAGGGGGGATGGGAGTGGTGGGTTGCAAGAGGATAGGGTACGGATGGGGGATGTGGAAGGGGGAATGGTGAGAGGGCGGCAAGGGGAATGGGAGGACGGGAGTTGTGAGGGGTCGAGCTGGGAGAGCGCTAATGGAGGTTCTGGGTTTGAGGTTTTGCAAGAGACGGCTGTGGGAATGGGGGCGGAAGGGTCTGCTGCGTCTGCTACTGCTGCTGCTGCTGCTGGTGCTGGTGTTGCAGGTGGTGCTGCTGCTGCTGGTGCAGGGGCGCCAGGGGCAACAGGATGGGGAGAACTGGAATGGGGTCTGGGGGCGGATACACATGCACATACAAACACACAATCACATACACATCTACACTCACACGCACACTCACATACAGAGACAAATACGCATGCACCAGCAGGTGTGTCGAACCGTTATCAGCAGTCGCTGCAGGCTCACGAATCTCAGCCAACCCAGCGGCCTCAGCAGTCACAGCAGTTGCCGCAGGAAGCGGCTCGAGTTGGTGGTTCTGCAGTCGACTCTTCTTCTTCCTCTGCAGGAGTGGGCTCGGCTGGTAGCAGTTGTACGAGGCCAAGAGATGCTGACGGAAGGGATGGAGAATGGTGGGGTGCGGTGGGTGTGGGTCAGACTGGAGGGCGGGCCAAGGGGCTGGGTGGGGGGCGGGGTGGGAGGGAGGTGGCAGGGGGTGTGAGCATGGGGAATGGGAGTGTGGAGAGTAGTGGGTGGCTGAAGGAAGCGGGTGGTGTGAGGGTAGGAGGAGAATCAGGTGAGGTAACCCAGAAGCAGAAGCGGAAGCAGGGGGGACAGCAGGGAGGGCAGCAGCAGCAGGAGGGAAAGCAGCATGGGCGGCAACAACAAAGTCAGCAGCAGCAGCAGCAGCAGCAGCAGCAGCAGCAGGTGGGGGTGGGGTTGGGGGTTGTTGTGGGCAAAGCAGGGGAGGCAGGAGCACTGGCAAACGGCATTCCAGCGTCCGGGTTGGTCTCAGGTGATCGGTCAGGTGGCATAGTGCGCACTATAGCGAGTTCGAGCCAACGTTTGGGGCACAAGGGTCGGGGGAGAGACAGAGACGTCTCTTTGCTTCCATCCCTGCAGCAGCAGCAGAAAATGGTGAATCAGCAAGGCGAGGTGCAGAGGCTCAGGGCAGGGCAGGGTCAAACTCAGGGTGCTGCTGCTCCTCCTCCTGCGAATGCTGGGCTGCTGGGAACGCCTCTTGCGCAGAGAGCTGGTTCAGGTGAAAATCCAGGCGCGGTTTCAGGTGCTGCTGCGGGCAGTGGTGGCGCTGTGTCTGATGGAGGGAGTGCTAGTGGGTCTGGCGAAGGGGGGGGAGTAGGTGGTGGCAAGAACAGGTCGAGGCGTAAGAGGGGGGGCAAGGGCAGGGCAGGCGGAATGGGTGGGCACATGGAAGGGGGCTTACAGGCAGGCGGTGGTTTGCAGGCAGGGGTTGGTTCACAGGTTGGCGCACGTTTTCAAGCAGGAGAGGGTTCAGGGAGAAACACAGGGCCAGCTGAAGCTGGAGATGCTCCTGGTGCTGCTGCAGTGGATATGGGCACGAGTTCTGGCACAGGCACGGGCAATGGCACAGGCACAGGCATTGGCATCCAGGGTCAGACGCAGCAGACACAGCAGCAGCAACAGCAATCACAGGGGCAGGTGCAGCAGCAGCCGCAGCCACTGCAGCAGTCACAGGGGCAGCAGCAGCAGCAGCAGCAGCAGCAGCATCAACAAGTGCCGCAGCAGCAGCAGCAGCAGCAGCAGCAGCAGCAATCACAGGGGCAGGTGCAACAACAGCCGCAGCAGCAGCCGCTACAGCAGCCGCAGCACCCGTCCCAGTTGCCACCGCTCCTGCCCTTTGTACCTGCTACCACCGTAGCTGCTGCTGCTGCTGCTGGGGTGGTGGGAGTAGTAGGGGCGGTTGGTGTGGGTGCAGCTGGTTTGGGAACGGTTGGTGGAGGGGTAACTCCCCCTCCCCATCAAGGGGTAATTGCCCCTCAGGGGGTGGTTCAACCTCCAGGGTTTAATGGGTTGGGCGGGAAGGGGTATGCAGGGGGGTGGGGTGATGGTTCGCAGGGGGAGGAGAGACAGGGTCGGGCTGGGACTTGGCCGAGGCAGCATGGAGGTATGGGAACAGGTATGGGTGCAGGTATGGGAGGAGGTATGGGTGGTGGAGGGATGGGTGGAGGCATGGGAGGAGGAAGCATGGGAGGAGGTGGAGGTATGGGTGGAGGCATGGGTGGAGGCATGGGTGGAGGCATGGGAGGTATGGGAGGAGGTATGGGAGGAGGTATGGGAGGTAGTATAGGAGGAGGAGAGAGGGTTGAGGAGGTGGATGTAGAGGTTGCTGTAGGTCCGAGGTCTGCTGCTAGAGAGAGAAGGCGACAGCTGCAGCAGCAGCAGCAGCAGCAGCAGCAGCAGCAGCAGCAGCAGCAGCAGCAGCAGCAGCAGCAGCAGCAGCAGCAGCAGCAGCAGCAGCAGCAGCAGCAGCAGCAGCAGCAACAACAACAGCAGCAACAGCAGCAGCAACAGCAACAGCAACAGCAGCAACGGCAACACCAGCACCAGCAAAAGCAGCTGCAGCAGCTGCAGCAGCAACAGCAGCAACAGACACAGCAGCAGACACAGCAGCAGACAAAGCAGCAGGTGCAGATGCGGCGGGTGAAAGAGTATGCGCCTTTGGGGGCATCGCAACAGCAGGCACAGGCCCAGGCGCAGCGGCAGGGGCAGGGACAGGCGCAGGGGCAGGCACAGGCACAGGGACAGGCGCAGCGGCAGGAAGAGAAAGAGGCTAGTTCCTTGCAGTCTCAGGCTGACGGTAGCAGGCAGGTGCTGCAGCAAGGGCAGCAGGGGCAGCAGGGGCAGCAGCAGCAATGTTGCCGTCTCCATGCCCGTTTCAGAACCCCACAAACCTGGTCTTGAGAGTTCCGGCACTAGCTCTAGTAGTGACAGGGGTGGCAGCAGTAGCAAGAGCAGCATGAGCAAGAGCAGCAGTGGGGGTAGGCCCCTTGGCCTGTCTAGAATTACATTTGGTTCGTTCACCAATGCTGCCTCTGCTGGAGGCGCGGCAGGTGCTATTTCCGGCCTCCCTCCCCCCTCCCTCTCACCTCCCTCCGTCACCCCCATTCTTTCCTCCTCCCTCTCCAATTCTGCTTCCACTGCTGCTGCAGCAGCTGGCACTGCCGCGGCTGCAGCCACTGCCACTGCTGCAGCAACTCCCAGTGCCGCTGCAGCTGGCACCTCTGGTAAGCTGCAGCACGGACCATCAGCACCACAGGCGGGTCTCGGTGGGGCTGCACTGGGCATTGGCAAAACAAGTGATGTGGGTGGGGGAAGTGCAGGAACTGATGCTGCCAGCGCTGCTGGTGGGATTGGTGGGGCAGCAGGGGATGCATATGGGACACTAGTGCCGCTAGCGGCAGTGCCTCTAGTGCGAGTGCCCATGCCATACGCCATGCCCGTCCCTCTCCCCATGCCCATGCACATGGCCGCACACATGGGTACCCCCATGGGTGCTGCCCCCTTCCCGCCTGCCCCCATGCCTCCTCTCGTTGCTCCGGCCGCCCCAGGCTCGGCAGGAGCTTCGGTCGCCGGGCCTGCTGGTTTGGCGAGCCTGGTTCCAGGGCCGGTGGGGTATATGGGGGCGCAGGGAGGGTCTGGCGTGGGTCTCCCTTCCGGTGCTTCCGGTGCTGCTGTTGCTGGTGCTGCCGCTGGCGAGTGCGCTACTCCTTCCCACTCTCAGCTTCCCCATGCAGCTGCCCCTCTCTATGCCCCTCCAGGCCTACATCCCCCCTTCCAAGGGCCGCCAGTCTCTGGAGCAGTGGCACCGACAGCAGGAGCAGCAGCAGGGCAGTCGGAACATGCAGCAGCGGCAGCAGCAGCGGCCGCGGCAGGGGCAGCGGGGGTAGGGGGGGATCCGGCAGTGGTTATGGCGTACCCTGCTGGTACTGCTCCTGCTGGTGGTCTAGGTGCGATGGGGAAGCAGGCAGGTGCAGCGGTGGGGGGACGAGTAGGGCAAGGGGGGCAAGGAGGGGAAAGAGGCCAAGGAGGGATGGGGGGGACAGGCACAGCGCAGCAGCAGCAGCAGCAACAGCAGCAGGTGGGGCAGTCGGGAGCGTTTGCATCCCCGAGTAAGCTGTCTTCTCATGCCGCCCCCTTTGTGCCCGGGGGAATGCCCTCTCTCATGTACCCCTCGCCCTTCCTCCGCCCCCTCCCCTCCCCACACATCCGCCCACTGCCTCCGCCACCACAGGGACAGGGGCAGCCGCAGGGACAGGGACAGGGGCAGGGGCAGGCACAGGGACAGGGACATGCACAGGCGCACACACAGGCACAGGCACAGACACACATACAGACACAGGTGCTCGGGCAGGGCCAGGGGCAGGGGCAGCAACAAGCACAAGCAGGCATGCAGCATTCCCACGTCCCGCACCTTGCCCACGCAACCCATCCCTTACACCACGGTCCATCCCCACCTCCCAACCCCACGGCTCCGTCTGCTCACCCTTACCCATCCCAACCCCATCCGTTTGCATCACAACCCCACCCGCATGCCATCCCATCTGCCCACTCATACCCGCTCGCTCCCTCGCCGCCCCTGCATGATCCCGTTGCTGGGTCTCCAGGGCTGGCTGTTGGATTTCATACCCATTCCCATACCCATCAGCAGCAGCAGCTGGGGCTGCAGCCTCAGGCTCATGCCATGCACTCCCAACTGGCTCAGCCTCATGGGTTGCATTTGCAAATGGCCCAGGTGCCGCATGGGGTACATTCACAAATGGCCCAGCAGCCGCACGGGGTACAAATGCAAATGGCCCACGCTCAAGGCGTGCACCCACCTCCTCCCCAAGGGCTGCAGGCAACCCCTTTCCACCCGCATGCGGCTCCCAGCGCTCAACTAGAAACGCCCCAACTCACAGGGGCACCTCAACCTCAACCATCGGGAAATTTTGAGTCGACTCAAACGTCGGCTCCCAGTGCTCAACTGGACTCGCCCCAACTCACAGGGACAAATCAACCAGCGGGAACGGTTCAGAACACGCATCAGTCGATGGCAGGGGATGGTGGTGTAGCAAGGGGAGATGGTCGGGTGCAGCAAGGGCAGCCGCAGGATGGGGCAGAGGCGGCTCAGCAAAGCAGTGCGGTTCTGCAGGGTGGGATGGGTTGGCAGCAGGTTGGGATGGGTGGGCAGCAGGTTGGGATGGGTGGGTGGGCCGAGAGGGCGTTGGATTCGCATGGAATGGCAGAGGTGGGGAGGGAGGCGGGGGGGAGAGGAGGGGCCGGAGGGGCGGTAGGAAGTGCAGAAGGCAGTGTGACAGGAGGGGGAGCAGCAGGAGGGGGAGCAGGAGGAGGAGGAGCAGCAGGAGGGGGAGCAGGAGGGGCAGCAGGAGGAGGGGGAGCAGCAGGGGGTGCAATGGCGTATGAGAATTCTCAGAACGTACATGAAGGTGTGTCTGCAGGAGGGGCAGGGGAGGAGGAGTGGGAGGAGGAGTGGGAGGATGATGAGGGAGCGATGGGACAGGTAGAGGGTGGTGAGGGGTTGATGGGGGAAGGATTGGAGGGTGGAAGAGAAGGAGGAGAGGAAGGAAGAGTGGTGGGAGGAGAGGAGGGAGGGGAGGAAGGAGTAGAGGAGGGAGTAATGGCGGGAATGGAGGGAATGGAGGTTGAAGGGAGGAGTGCTGCTGTGTATAACGAGGAGGAGGATGAGCAGTTTCAAGCTGACCTGCAACGAGCCATGCAACAGAGCATAGGTGGGTGCAGAAGGGCATAGATGGGTGCAGCAGAGTACAGATGGGTGCAGAAGAGTTAAGTTGGGTGCAGCAGAGGATAGGTGAGTGTGGCAGAGCCGTTGATTCCAGTCCAGCTCCTGGTGGCTCTGTTGAAAACACCTGAGTATTCACCTGAGTTTTCGTCCTGTTCCGCATATTTTTTCCCTGCCCCTTCTCCCTCACTGCCCCAACAGAGGATCTGGAGCGTTCATCTCACTCCCACTACTACCACTCTGCCGCCCGGCAACCCCCCAAGCACCAATCAGAAGCATCCCTAAACCCCGCCAGCTCAGAAAGAGGCACCGACAGCCTGGCAACAGCGCCTGCCACGTCAGCAGACTGGGATGCCAGCGTGGCGCTGACGCTACGAGAGGAGAGTGGGGAGTCGAGAGAGGGAGGGGGAGGGGAGGGGGAAATGGAGGTGGATGTGAGGGGAGGTGGAGGGGGATTGGGGGCGGTGGAGATGGTATGGAGTGGGGTGGGAGGAGAGGAGGGGTTGGTGGGGCTGAGGAATGAGATTGGCGAATACAACTGCTTCCTCAATGTCATCATTCAGGTAGGTAGGGGTGTTGCTGGGGGGAGAAGTGATTTCCATTTTGCTGAGGTTGCATCTGTAGTGCCCCAAGGAGGAGAGGAGGGGTTGGTGGGGCTGAGGAATGAGATTGGCGAATACAACTGCTTCCTCAATGTCATCATTCAGGTGCGAAGAGACTTTTGTTATTTTTTTTTTCTGCTTGTGACGTCCAGAATGAGATCGGGGAGTTGACTTTCGAGTCGACTCAAAAGTCATTCAGGTGTTGAGAGACTTCTGTTATTTTTTACCGCTTATGATGTCCAGAACGAGATCGGGGAGTTCAACTGCTTTCTTAGGGCCATTGTTCAGGCAAGGAGAGGTTTGTTGTCTGTAGAAAGGAGTGATTGCTGCTGTTATTGCTGAGGAATTGGAGCCGCGTTTATAGTGCCACTAAACGGGGAGGATGGGGAATGAGGATGGGGGGAGTATACAGCTTCGCAACCACCCAATTCTCATCATTCCCGTGCGAAGATTTTTTGAGAATTCTCGAAAAATCCCTGCAACAGGATGGGGGGAGTATACAGCTTTGCAACCACCCAATTCTCATCATTCCCGTGCGAATTGGGTGGTTGTAGAGTGAGAAAGAGAGAGAGCAGTGACAGCTGTTTGAGGGCACAACGGATGTGTCCATCATCATTCGGCTCGTCAAAATCGTGAGTGAGTTATGCTCATTTGGCCCTGTTATGCGTCGAGGCTCTTTATTCATGCCCAAGTATTACAAGTACTTCCCTTTCTTACATTCAAATTCATGGATACTCCGTTTCATTTTTCCGCGTCTCTCCGCCCTCCCCCCCCTTGGTTCCCAAACCCCTCCTCAGTCCCTCTGGCACTTACGTAAGTTCCGGGAGCGTTTGTTGCACCCGTCCTGTCAACAACACACCCATCAGGGCGATCCCTGTGTGGTCTGCGCTTTAAGAGACATATTCCTGGCTCTCAACACCACCAGCACTGCCACCGTCACCGCTCCCAACCCATCCATCACCACAGCTGCCACCACCACTACCACAGCCAACACCTGTTCCACACTCTCTACTGCCATTGTTCCTTATGCCGCCTCCGGTGCTCCTCCTTCTGCCTCTGGAGCTCCTGCTTCTGCCGCCGGTGCTGCAGCTGCAGCTGCAGCTGCACCTGTCTCGTTGCGACCCGCTTGGAAAGCTTCCCCAGCAGCGGCAGCAGCAGGAGCAGCAGCAGCAGCAGTGGGATCCAGGGTGGCAGTTTCCCAAACTGCTGGCTCCTCTGCTTCTGCTGCCGATGCTGCTGCTTTCCCTCCTCTCAGCACCTCTGATTTCCCTGTACTTAGCAGCAGCAGCGGCGGCAGCAGCAGCAGCGGCAGCAGCGGCAGCGCTGCAGCGGTGTCATCCCCTCTAGAAGTCGATTCGCTATCTGACGCTGAGAGTGCGTCAGTCAGCAAAAGGAGCAAGAGGACACAGCAGAGCAATGCCTGGGGGGCGTCGCAGCAGACTCATAGCAGCAGCAGTGGGATGCAACAGATTAATCCACAACCACAGGCACAGGCACAACCCTTAACACAGCCCTCCACACACAGTAGTTATGCCACTGCTCTGGCAGAGCGTGGTGGAACCAGGAGTGCACACACCAGCACTGCTGGTAGCACGGTCACCAGTGCGGTTACCAGTGCAGCTGCTAATAGTGCGGCAGAGGCAGTTTTCCCTGGTATTGACGCGGTTACACACGCAGAGCTCGCTTCACCTGCAGCAGCAGCAGGGGTGGCAGTGGTGGCAGTGGCACCAGCAGCAGGGGAAGGGGCGGGCCCCTCGGTTCGGACTGTAGTGGCGCCCACAGCGCTAAGAGTGGCACTTAGTGCCATGTTTGCCGACTCGGAGTTCTTCCAACAGGTATGTTTTTGTCTTTCTCCCTTGCTTTACTTTAGTGGCTTCAGATTCTTTTCAACCTGCTCATTGTGCGTGCGTGCGTGCGTGCGTGCGTGCGCGTGTGTGTGTGTGCACGTGTGTGTGTGTGTGTGCGCGCGCGCGCGCGTGTGTGTGTCCGTGTGCATGTGTGCGTGTGCGTGTGTGCGTGTGTGTGTGTGTGTGCGTGTGTGTGCGTGTGTGTGTGTGTGTGTGTGAGTGTGTGTGTGTGTGTGTGTGTGTGAGTGTGTGTGTGTGTGTGTGTGTGTGTGTGTGTGTGTGTGTGCGTGTGCGTGCGTGCGTGCGTGTGCGTGCGTGCGTGCGTGTGCGTGCGTGCGTGCGTGCGTGCGTGCGTGTGTGCGTGCGTGCGTGCGTGCGTGTGTGCGTGCGTGCGTGCGTGCGTGCATGCGTTCATTCTTTTTCCCTGTTGTCTGTGTGCCGCCCCGTTCTCTCTCTCTCTCTCTCTTCCCTCCCCTTCTTCCCCATCCTGCCCCTGCAGTCTCAGATGAACGATGCCTCAGGTTCTCCTAGTCACCTTCGAGTCCACTCAAAAACCGCCCCATCCCCACCTTCCCCCCTCTCCCCCTTCATTTCCAGTCTCAGATGAACGATGCGTCAGAGGTTCTCCTAGTCATCTTCGACTGCCTTCACCGAGCCTTCACCGAGCCTGTAGCTGGGACAGCTGGTTCGGAATCAGAAGGAGCTTCCAATGTCAAAGCCACAGCTGTCAACTTTTCGACAGACCATTCTTTTATTGATCCGGGCACCAGTGCAGCCAATCAGAAACCAGCAGGAAGTTGGGACTGCCCGGCCTCAACAGCAGCTTGGGACCGAGCCTACCTTGCAGCTTCGGCAGACAGCTCAGCCCTGGGTGTGGGGTCCGTGCCGAACCAAACCACAGCTCCGGGGCAGAGACATGATGTAGGCTCGGCAGCAGGGTCGGGGACAGCCTCGGGGAGTGGGGCTGCTGTGTCTGCCTCTCCCCTCTCCTATGGTGCTGTGGTTGCCAGAGGGAAAGGCGGGGCCAACACCACTGCAGCTTCTGCAGCTGCTGCGGCTGTGAATGGTAGGAAATCCGGTGGGGGGTTAGGATCAGGAAGTAGAGTAGGGGACAGTGTAGCAACAGGAGTAGGAGCAGGAGGACCAGGAGGAGGGGCAGGAGGGGAAGCAGGTGCGGGTGGTGTGGTGGGTGCTGCAGCCGCAGCAGCGGCAGCAGAGGTGGCAGGGGAGGCGGCAGCAGCAGCATGTATAGCACACGGGCTGTTTGGGCTGGACGTGACAGAGATGATGCGGTGCTCCCGCTGCGGCCTGCAGTCCCGCCAGATGCGCTACTCCTCCTTCTTCCACCACGCTAATGCTACTGCTCTTAGGCTCTCAAAGGTGAGTGTGTGTCTTGGCGTGTGTGTGTGCATATGCGTGGGGCGCTAGGACCATGCATGCATGCATGTCGCTCAAGACTGGTCAGATGCGCATCTCTCACTGCATCTCCTCCTTCTTCCACCACGCCAAAGCCACTGCCCTCAGGCTTTCCAAGGTGAGCGAAGCAGAATGAGATGCAGTGAAAGCAGTGAGAGATGCTCTCACGTGCCGTTTCCCCCTCTCAACTCTTTCCTCAACGCTCGCAACCGCTCCCCACAGCTCAACAACCCCACGTGTTGCTAACAGGCATGGAGCAGCACCATCTACTGCCGTGTGATGTGGACGTGGGGGGGTGCGAGCACCCTCCTCCCTCACCCCACTCAACTCCTCCCTCACCCCACTCAACTCCTGACTCACCCCACTCAACTCCTGACTCACACTCAACTCCTGACTCACCCCACTCAACTCCTGACTCACCCCACTCAACTCCTGACTCACCCCACTCAACTCCTCCCTCGCCACACCCAACCCCTCCCCACAGCTGGGCAACCCCACGTGTCGAATGGACGAGCTATTAGCGGGCATGGAGCAGCACCACTTGCTGCCATGCGATGTGGATGTGGGGTGGTGCTGCTACACCCTCGTCCCCTACCCCTCTCAACTCCTTCGAACACCTCTCAATCCCCTCATTCACCCCTCTGAACCCCTCCCTATCAACTCCTCTCAACCCCTTCCGACAGCTGGGCAACCCTAATTGTCGCATGGACGAGCTATTAGCGGGCATGGAGCAGCACCACCTGCTGCCATGCGATGTGGATGTGGGGGGGTGCTGCTACACCCTCGTCCCCTACCCCTCTCAACTCCTTCGAACACCTCTCAATCCCCTCATTCACCCCTCTGAACCCCTCCCTATCAACTCCTCCCAACCCCTTCCGACAGCTGGGCAACCCTAATTGTCGCATGGACGAGCTATTAGCGGGCATGGAGCAGCACCACCTGCTGCCATGCGATGTGGATGTGGGGGGGTGCTGCTACACCCTCGTCCCCTACCCCTCTCAACTCCTTCGAACACCTCTCAATCCCCTCATTCACCCCTCTGAACCCCTCCCTATCAACTCCTCCCAACCCCTTCCGACAGCTGGGCAACCCTAATTGTCGCATGGACGAGCTATTAGCGGGCATGGAGCAGCACCACCTGCTGCCATGTGACACTGACGTGGGGGGGTGCGGGCACCCCAACGCCATTCAGCATGTCTTGCGCCGCGCTCCACCCATCTTCACCACTGGTGGGTTCAAAGGGCGATTCATGTGCTAGTGAGGGGATGCGTGGGGGGATGCGTGGGGGGATGCGTGGGGGGATGCGTGGGGGGATGCATGGGGGGGTGCATGGGGGGGTGCGTGGGGGGATGCATGGGGGGGTGTGTGGGGGGATGCGTGGGGGGATGCATGGGGGGGTGCGTGGGGGGGTGCGTGGGGGGGTGCGTGGGCGGGTGCAGACACCCTAACGCCATTCAACACGTTCTGCACTGCGCTCCACCCATCTTCACCACTGGTGTGCAGGAAGGTTGCATTGATGTGTGGGAAGGGTCGGTCCGCCACATGTAAGCAAGGTCAAGGGCCACTCAGGGAGGTTTGTCCGTGGGGGGCGGGGACATATGCCTGGCACTGGCAGCACTTGACTCGCTTCATGGGAGCTCTTTTCCTTTCCACTGTTGTTTCCTCGTTCACAGTTTTGGGATGGCAGAGCGACAGGGAGGAACCAGAGGACGTAGCCCTGAAGCTGGGACCACTGGATGTGCACATGGACGTGGTTTTTGAGACGTCTCAAAAACACCCTCTCTACACGTAGGCCTGAAGCTGGGACCACTGCATGTGCACATGGACGTGGGAGTGGTGAACTGGGGGTTGAACTGATTCCCTTCCTTGTCTCTTTCCCCTTGCCAATTCCCGCTTTTTTCTGCTCCTCTCCTTCCCATCTTCCAGTCCTTGGTTGGCAGAGCGACAGGGAGGAGGCAGAGGACATCGGCCTGACTCTACGAGCACTGGACGTGCAGATGGACGTGAGAGTGGTGTACCGTGGGTTGCCCTGACTCCCTTTCCTCTCACTTTCCCCTTTTCAATACCCGCTGTTTGCCCTGACAGTCCTGGGGTGGCAGAGCGACAGGGAGGAAGCAGAGGATATCGGTCTAACTCTGGAAGCACTGGACGTGCACATGGACGTGGGAGTGGTGTACCGGGGCCTGGCGGGCCCGCAGAGGGTGCGCGTGGTGTGTGTGGTGTGCTACTACGGGCGACACTACCACTGCTTCTCCTTCCATGCGGACCTGGGCAAGTGGGTCATGTTCGACGATACCACCGTCAAGGTGAGGTGGGGAGGGGGATGGAGGGAGGTGAAGTGCTGGTTTGAGGGGATTGTGTGCGGTGATTGCTGGGGAAGTGGGACATGCTCGATGATGCCACCGTCAAGGTGAGGAGAGGGGGAGGTGCTTGCTTGCACTGAGGCCTGCCCGGCCCGCAGAGGGTGTGGGTGGTGTGTGTGGTGTGCTACTACGGAAGGCACTACCACTGCTTCTCCTTCCATGCGGACCTGGGCAAGTGGGTCATGTTTGACGACACCACCGTCAAGGTGAGGAGTGGTGGAGCGGGATGAGGTGAGATGAGGTGAGATGAGGTGAGATGAGGTGAGACGAGGTGGACCGTGGAGGAGATGATGAGGTGGAAGGAGATGAGGTGGAAAGAGATGTGGTGGAAAGAGATGTGGTGGAGTGAGGTGAGGTGGAGTGAGGTGAGGTGGAGTGAGCTGAGGTGGAGTGAGGTGAGGTGAGATGAGGTGGACCGTGGAGGAGATGATGAGGTGGAGGGAGATGTTGGATCTTCTTTCGAGGATTCTCAAAAACTGTTCTCTTCTCTGTTGTGCGACCTCCCTGCAGGTGGTTGGGGGCTGGGCAGATGTGGTGAGCTCATGCACTCGAGGCCGCTTGCAACCTCAAGTGTTGTTCTATGAGGCATGCTAGTTAAGGTAGTGAGGGACGTGAAGTGATGGCGAAGCCACGCTACCATGTGAAACGAAGGTGGAACCATGCTATGCTGCCCCATGCTATCTGTGCTACCTTAGTGAAACTTGTATTGCGAGATAGCAGGGTTTAGTTTCAAGACCTGTTTTGGTTTCGATTTGGTGCTTGACCCAACAATGCATCACTATGTGAGGCTTTGGTAGGAGATTCATTTGTGGTGGTGTTTGTGCTAGCTTGCGTATTGATTGCTTACCAGTGCAAAGCTTGATAGAATAATGGTGTCCCTCGTTTACAGAAGATTCGGATTTTTCCAGCTCTATTCTATGGATAATATTATGTCAGTATACACCTCGTGAGATGTTCGAATGAGCGGTGCAACAGCTTGCGAAGGCTGTTAGACGTAGGGTACTGTTGTGAGTTCGTGGTTGGGTGGAACGAGAGGACCTTTCGCAACTGCACTGTTGTCCCATGTTGTTGAGTTTGTCACCGCACGACGACTGTTTCTGTCGTGATTGGCGGGAACGAGCAAGACCCATGTTTGATTCGAATTCGAAACGGACGGACGGAAAACGTCAAACCTCTGGGTTATGGAAAAATGAGGTTGCGCGTGCGTAACGGCCATTCCAAAGTCCGGCCCTCGATGGCTGCGGCAAAACACTCTCTGTTTTGTGCAGGTTTGGTCGAAATCCAAACATCCCGTTTTCATAGCCAGCCATCACATTCAAACAATCAGTGGAGGACAGTGTGTCGTCTCATTTCAGACATAACGGGCTGTTCTCATTGGTCAAATCTTCATCAGTCTAGCCCAATTGCTCGACAACGACGGCGCAACTTGCTAAAAAAACGCTCCCTGCAGCCTCACCCAGCGTCAGCCAATCATCGTGCGACACGACCAAGAGCTGCGGCAGCGCGTTTCGACTTGTTTCGTTCCATTTCGTTTCAATTCGTTCCGTCCAGATAAGTCCAAACGAACGGAGTTACGTGTACTATTTTCCGCACTCCACCTTTTTGTTTCGCCGCACTGGCCAAAGAAAGAGTCCATCCAATCCTACCGCACACCGGCCCAGTTTAGTAACCGCACTGCAGGTCGCTCACCTGACAAACAGAACTGAGGGAACGGAATGAATGCTGCTTTAGGGCGCGTGTCTTTTGGTGTAGACATTCAAAAAAAAGGTCGAGCTTTTGCTGGTAGCCTGTTTCGCGAATGTCGCTCATGTTTTCGCGAAGGTATCGTGTGTCCTAGATTAGACTGTGTGAAAGGAGTTGGACACTGAACCAAAGTCGACCTGCATTCGCATTTTTATGTCAACATTTATCTAATCGTGTGTTCTTGTGCGCACGCACGAATATTCCCGAGGTTCACGACAAAAATGAGTTATATTTTACCAGGTTACCGAAGCCTGATACGGTAACGAGCAGCACCGCCCAACCAGGTAACCTACGAAAGTTGAGCGCGACTACTGATTTACTGTTCAAAGTAGAGATTTGATAGTCGAAATTTGTTGTTCCATGTGCGACTCGGACTTTGTTGACGTTGCTCCTCGACCTTCAAAATTCGAGATGGTCGACCACACGTCGACCAAAGCTCGAATGTGAAAATTCGAGAAAAAAACATGAACATCTACCTAATTTGCAAAAGACACGCGCCCTTACTACTGCTGCTGAGGGCCGAACTAACGCCATGGGCAACCAACGCCCGAAAGGGCGAGTCCAATCGAAGACACTGAGCGAGAGGGAGAAACAGAGCAGACTAGGGAGCTCAGCAGCAGATCCGCTAGACCGCTGACTTGTTCCTTCCTTACGCAGCCCGTCTTATCGAATCCCACATCCAATTCAAGCACGCCCGCGTGTCTCGTCGCGTTGTGTTTCGACAGACGTCTGGGAGTGTTATTTCAAGCAACGACCGTCATGCGTGCGCGTTAGTCTCCAGGGGCACGTTATTTTCCAAGGGAGAAGGCGAGGGAGGGGGGGTTTCTAGCACTGTACAAGTAATTCCAGGAGCACTGCCGCCGTTCCTTTCTCCCTTCAGCTCTTTTTCAACTATTACGATTAGCACCTGCATTACCGAGCCTTTCAAGTCTGGGCCCTAGAGCACCACTTAATTCCTCACGAACTACTGCTTCCAGAGTCGTAACAAGCGACGCGTTAGATATACTTCCCCCTAACACTGCCGTTCTCGGGTGGTTTTTGAAACGACTGCAAAGTCGCTGTCCGAGTCCTAAGAAGCGATGCATTAGGTATACTTGCCCCTAGCACTGCTCGCTTTCGTGTTGGCCGATACGAGCAAGGACACGAGCACCCCCAGCTCGCGAGTGGCCGCTTCGCCCTCCAACTTTGATAGTGGACCGAGGAAATCCGCTTCCTAGAGCCGCGAATCGCTTTTGAGTCGACTCAGAAGCGAATCGCGTGCGGACGGCGAGAGCTGAACTAGGCTGGCGACGCGACGAATTTGGAGTCCGGGGTTGTAGCGAATCACGTATTGTAGTAGCGCTGGTTGGTAGGCTGTATGAAGTGCGCGCATTTGTTCTTGGCGCTCGCTAGGAGAGATCCTGCTTACGACTCGCACGATAGTTGGCTGTTCGCGAGTCTCCAGCGTAGACGGCACGGCTGCCTCTCTTTTGCCTCGATATAGTCCTCCTCGTTAGGGTAATTCGTCAGAATTGTGCATTACGCCTCGGTAGTCGACATTGTCTAGAAGAATTCACCCGATTGGGAAGGAGAGGCGAACCGCCGCAAGAGACGAAAAGAAGCGCAATGTCGGAAACGGATGAGCTTACAACGAAGGCGGGCGGGTGGGGGGGAGCATCCAAACTGGCTGTTCGCATGGACAGCGACGACTGGAGTAACCGGGTAACCAGCGGCTTCAAAGACATAACTCTCAGCGACGGCACCGGCGGCAGCGGAAGGAGCGGCGGGCGAAGCGGCGTTAGAAGTGGCGCAGGAAGCGCCGTCAGTAGCCGACACAGCAGTAGCACGTTTAGCGGCAGGAGCGGCAGTATAGCTTGGACCGACGATTTTAGCGATTACGGACTATACGACCCTGCTAGTTATTACCCCGACACCCCTTCTTCGCACGCCTCGGTCCCTTCGTCGCGCTTCGAACCACCGCTCCGAGATGACGTTGCTGGCGGCGGCCCCATCTCCCGCGGCGGTATCGGCGGTTCCTTTGGTTCTCAACGCGCCGGGTCGTTTCGCCGTGCCGGCCTCCCGCCGTCCGGCAGCGTCGATCGTCACGTTAGCAGCCGCTGCGGCAGCCTCGATCGCCATGTCAGCAGCCGTTACGGCAGCGTTGGCGGGGCGGAGGAGGAAATGCGCGATTCGGCGGCCGCTGTCGCGTGTGACAATAGCGAGAGGGACTTTCGTCACGGTGCTGAGGCTGCGACCAGATACGACTCGGACGACGACGACGACGATGACGAGTGCGACAGAAACGAGAGCAGCGACACAGTCGCACGGGAGGTAATCCGGCGGTTCAACAGCACCGGGCACGGAATCGACAGCAGCGACGGCGGCGGCAGCGGAAGCGGCGGCAGCGGCGGCGGCGGCTTTATCACAACAAGCAACAACAGCCGGAAAAGAGAATGATTATAAGACACCAGCGACACGGATCCATGGCTTCTCATATCAGGACGAAACCCGGAGGAGTCGAAACCGCTCCTATGGGGATAATTAACGGTACGGGAAGCTATTATTATGGTATCGGGACAGGGAGAGGGAATCGGCCGGTTGCTACAGGCGGATCGGCTGGTAACGGGGATGACGCGCCGCATCGGCGCGCTCTGAGTGTGGATTTTCACCCGCCGCCTGTTTTCATGCACTCCCCGCGCACGCCGCCTTTCGGCGCGGACGGCGGAGATTGCCCCTCCCCCCTCTTCTCCCCGCATCTATCCCCGCACCTCTCCCCGCGCATGTCGCCCCCGCATTCCCCCATGCGCGCGGCCCCCCATCCTTGGGCGGCCAGCCCGCGCGAAGATTCCTCGACCGCCCAGGAAGCTTCCGCGTGCTATCGCGCAGAGCAAGGAGTGTTGGACGAACCTTCCAGCTTGCAAGAAGGAGAGTTGGTCGGCGCAGGCGCAAGCGCAAGCGCAAGCGCGGGCGCAAGCGCAGGTACAGGGGAAGAACTAGGCCCTCCACCCCAACAGCCGCCCCAACTGGCGCCTCAACGGCCCCAGCTTCCCCAACAGGTTTCCCAAACCCAGCAGCAGCCCCCGCTGCCCCAACCCAACCTCAACCCCAATCCCAGCCCCAGCCCCAGCAGCAGCAGCAGCAGCAGCAGCAGCAGCCTCAGCAGCAGCCGCAACAACAGCTGCTGCAGCACCGGCGTCGGCCGCAGCTCCCACAGCAGCAGCACCTGAGGCTCGGTATCCCGTCCGGCAGCGCCGGGCCTATGGGCCAGCATCGGCGGCACCGGTCCTACGCAGACCACTCTGGTTCGGACCCAGCCCGGAGGTTCGGCAGCAGCGGCAGCATCGGGACCAGCTGCCTCGGAACCAGCAGCAGCAGCGGCAGCACCGTTGGTGGCGCTACTGGTGCTACTGGTGCTGCTGCTGCTGCTGCTGCTGCTGCTGGTGCTGCCGGTGCTGCTGGTGGTGAGGGCACTGGTAATGCGGTAACCGCACGTCGCACCCTCCGAAGCCACAGCTTCGGTAGTAACCACCACAGCAGCGCCAGCTTCGGCAGCAGCCTCGGGCTAAGCCATAGCAACAGCTGCGGCGGAACTCTCAACCTCAACCTCCCTCCTAGAAGCCCCTTCAGGTCTCCAGGGCAGTTTGCTACGGCTCTGAGTGTGCCTGCTGGTTTGGAGTGCGGTGCAGGGGAGTTCAGTCCGGTGACGAGGTCTCCCAAGCCCCCAAGGTCCCCGTTTTTTAGTGACCCCGCTGGAGTTTCTGTGCCTCTGGCTGAAAGGTTTGCAGCGGCTAATGGGAATGCTGTGGGTATTGGAAATACGGCCCTTCCTCCTCCTGCTCCTCCTGCTCCTCCTGCTGCTGCTCCTGCTGCTGCTGCTCCTTTTCCTCTTACTTCTCCTCCTCCTCCTTCCGTTCCTCCTTCTGCTTCCGTCGCTTCTCTTCCTCCCTCTATTCCTGCTCCTCCTGCCGTCGCGTGTGCCAGAGCCAGTGCTGCCGCAGCTGAGTCGTGCATTCCCCTTCACTCTGCTGCTCCTCCTCCTGCTCCTCCTGCTCCTTTTGCTCTTCCGCCTGCTCCTGCCCCTCCTGCCATTCCTGCCGTTCCTGCCTCTCCTGCTGTTCCTGCCGTTCCTGCCTCTCCTGCTGTTCCTGCCGTTCCTGCCTCTCCTGCTGTTCCTGCCGTTCCTGCCTCTCCTGCTGTTCCTGCCCCTGCATTCAATCTGCATGGGCAGCAGCTCAAGAGGAAATCGAACTCTGCAGTGGGCGGCACCTGTGCTCTCTCCCAACAAGGTTCGTTGGGCCTGCAGCAGGATCAATCCATGCAGCAGCAGCAGCAGCAGCAGCAGCAGCAGCTGCTGCCGCCGCCGCACCAGCAGCAGCCGTCGCCTTTAGAGTCGAGCGCAAGTGCACCTCCCCCACAACAAGCCGCGTTGAGGCTGCAGGAGGATCAGATCAAGGCGCTGCAGAGGCTGCAGCAGCAGCTGCAACAGCACCGTATGAACCTGCAGCAGCAGCGGCAGCAGCATCAGCAGGGACAGCAGGGGTATCACCAACCGCAGCGGCAGGGAGTGGCTGGGCAGCAGGTGGATTTGCAGCAGCTGAAGGAGGCGTTAATACGCAGATTGAGTGCGATCCAAGCAACCAGCAGCACCTCCAGCGGCACCAACGCCACCAGTGGTGACAACTGCAGCGTAGGCGCCAGTATAGGCGGCGGCATAGGAGGGGGAGTTCACAGGCGATACGCGAGCGCAGGTGTGGAGATCACCGGCAGCGGCTGCATCGGCAGCAGCATTGGCAGCAGCAGCGGCAGCGGTGGCAGTGTTGGCAGCAGTGGTATGCAGACGGGTCATCCTGTACTGCAAGCTTCACATCATTCCCCGCTCCACTCTGCTGCCGCTGCTGCTGCCGCTGCTGCTGCTGCCGCTACTGGTAGTCCCGCCCCTGCCCCTAACCCTGCCCATCCTGCCCCTGCCCTTGCATCTGAACCAACTTCCATGCACCACCGGTGCGCGTCCCTAGACGCTCACTCACAGCAGTTCTTTAAAACCCTTAGCACGTACATCAGCAGAGGGCTGACAGGGGAGATTGGGGAGGGTGCAGGGGGGAGGGTGTGGGGGGGGAGAGGGTGGGGGTAGTGGGTGGCAGGTGGGGCGGCGACAGGGCGGCAGGGGCAACGGAGGTGGATTCTGGGAATCTGAGCTTCCGGGATTTTATCCTGCGCATGCCGTACGATAACGTGAAGAGATTTTATTCCGTCAGCGCCGCCCGGATCGGGAGCGGGCGGTACGGCGTGATTCGGCCATGCACGCACCGAGCGACGGGAGTGAAGATGGCAATAAAGACGATTAAGAAGGAACAAATGAAGGTGAGGAAGGGGAGGGGAGGAGGAAGGTGGGAGAGTAGGGGCTGGGAGTGTTATGGGTGTGCCAATGTGCCGTGCACGCGCTGAGCGACAGGAGTGAAGATGGGAATTAAAACGATCAAGAAGGAACACATGAAGGTGAGAAAACGGATGGGGGGAGGTGGGGCGTTGGGGGATTGGATTGGGAGCGCTATGGGTGGTACATGCACTGAGCCACAGGAGTGAATTTGGCAATAAAAACAATCAGGAAGGAACAGAGGATGAGGCAAATAGGAGGACTTGCACCCAGAGGTGGTCTTTCTGGGTTTCCTGCAGTGCAACACACCCTCCCTCACATCACAAGGTACCTCTCCTCTCCTTCTCTCCTCTCCTTTCCCTCCTCTCCTTCTCTCCTCTCCTTCCCCTCCCGCTCCTTCTCTCCTCTCCTTCCCTCCTCTCCTTCCCTCCTCTCTCCTTCCCTCCTCTACTTCCCTCCTCCCTTCCTCCTCTCCTTCCCTCCTCTCCGTCCTTCCTCTCCTTCTCTCCTCTCCTTCCCTCCTCTCCTTCCCTCCTCTCCTTCCCTCCTCTCCTTCCCCTCCTCTCCTTCCCTCCTCTCCTTCCCTCCTCTCCTTCCCTCCTCTCCTTCCCTCCTCTCCTTCTCTCCTCTCCTTCCCTCCTCTCCTTCTCTCCTCCTCTCCCTTCCCTCCTCTCCTTCCCTCCTCTCCTTCTCTCCTCTCCTTCTCTCCTCGCCTTCCCTCCTCTCCTTCCCTCCTCTCCTTCCCCTCCTCTCCTTCCCTCCTCTCCTTCTCTCCTCTCCTTCCCTCCTCTCCTTCCCTCCTCTCTCCTTCCCTCCTCTCCTTCTCTCCTCTCCTTCCCTCCTCTCCTTCCCTCCTCTCCTTCTCTCCTCTCCTTCTCTCCTCTCCTTCCCTCCTCTCCTTCCCTCCTCTCCTTCTCTCCTCTCCTTCCCTCCTCTCCTTCCCTTCTCTCCTTCCCTCCTCTCCTTCCTCCTCTCCTTCTCTCTCTCTCCTTCCTCCTCTCCTTCTCTCCTCTCCTTCCCTCCTCTCCTTCCCTCCTCTCCTTCTCTCCTCCTCTCCTTCTCTCCTCGCCTTCCCCTCCTCTCCTTCCCTTCTCTCCTTCCCTCCTCTCCTTCCCTCCTCTCCTTCCCTCCTCTCCTTCTCTCCTCTCCTTCCCTTCTCTCCTTCCCTCCTCTCCTTCCTCCCTCTTCCCTCCCCTCCTTCCCTCCTCTCCTTCTCTCCTCTCCTTCCCTCCTCTCCTTCCCTCCGCTCTCCTTTCTCCTCTCCTTCCTCCTCCTCTCCTTCTCTCCTCTCCTTCCTCCTCTCCTTCCCTCCTCTCCTTCCTCCTCTCCTTCCCTCCTCTCCTTTCCTCCTCTCCTTCCTCCCCTCTCCTCCCCTCCTCTCCTTCCTTCCTCTCCTTCCTCCTCTCTCCTTCCCTCCTCTCCTTCCCTCCTCTCCTTCCCTCCTCTCCTTCCCTCGCTCTCCTCCCTCCTCTCCTTCCCTCCTCTCCTTCCCTCCTCTCCTTCCCTCCTCTCCTTCCCTCCTCTCCTTCTCTCCTCTCCTTCCCTCCTCTCCTTCTCTCCTCTCCTTCCATCCTCTCCTTCCCTCCTCCTCCTTCTCCCTCCTCTCCTTCTCTCCTCGCCTTCCCCTCCTCTCCTTCTCTTCCTCTCCTTCCCTCCTCTCCTTCCCTCCTCTCCTTCCCGCCTCTCCTTTTCTCCTCTCCTTCCCTCCTCTCCTTCCCTCCTCTCCTTCCCTCCTCTCCTTCTCTCCTCTCCTTCCCTCCTCTCCTTTCTCTCCTCTCCTTCCCTCCTCTCCTTCTCTCCTCCCCTTCCCTCCTCTCCTTCCCTCCTCTCCTTCCTCCCTCCTCTCCTTCTCTCCTCTCCTTCTCTCCTCTCCTTCCCTCCTCTCCTTCCCTCCTCTCCTTTTCCTCCTCCTCCTTTCCTTCCCTCCTCCTCTCCTTCCCTCCTCTCCTTCCCTCCTCTCCTTTCCCTCCTCTCCTTCTCTCCTCTCCTTCCTCCTCCTCTCCTCTCCTCTCCCTCCTCTCCTTCTCTCCTCTCCTTCCCTCCTCTCCTTCCCTCCTCTCCTTCTCTCCTCTCCTTCTCTCCTCGCCTTCCCTCCTCTCCTTCCCTTCTCTCCTTCCCTCCTCTCCTTCCCTCCTCTCCTTCCCTCCTCTCCTTCTCCTCCTCTCCTTCCCTCCTCTCCTTCCCTCCTCTCCTTCCCTCCTCTCCTTCTCTCCTCGCATTCCCTCCCTCCTCTCCTCCGTCCCTCCTCTCCTTCTCCTCCTCTCCTTCTCTCCTCTCCTTCCCTCCTCTCCTTCCCTCCTCTCCTTCTCTCCTCTCCTTCCCTCCTCTCCTTCCTTCTCTCCTTCCCTCTCTCCTTCCCTCCTCTCCTTCTCTCCTCTCCTTCCCTCCTCTCCTTCTCTCCTCTCCTTCCCTCCCTCCTTCCCTCCTCCCTCCTTCTCCTCCTCTCCTTCTCTCCTCGCCTTCCTCCTCTCCTTCCCTTCTCTCCTTCCCTCCTCTCCTTCCCTCCTCTCCTCTCTCCTCTCCTTCTCTCCTCTCCTTCCCTCCTCTCATTCCCCCTCTCCGTCCCTCCTCTCCTTCTCTCTCCTCTCCTTCCCTCCTCTCCTTCCCTCCTCTCCTTCTCCTCCTCTCCTTCTCTCCTCTCCTTCCCTCCTCTCCTTCCCTCCTCTCCTTCTCTCCTCTCCTCCCTCCTCTCCTTCTCTCCTCTCCTTTCCCTCCTCTCCTTCCCTCCTCTCCTTCCCTCCTCTCCTTCTCTCCTCTCCTTCCCGTCTCTCCTTCCCCTCCTCTCCTTCCCTCCCTCCTTCCCTCCTCTCCTTCCTCCTTCTCTTCCTCTCCTTTTCCTCCTCTCCTTCTCTCCTCTCCTTCCCTCCTCTCCTTCTCTCCTCTCCTTCTCTCCTGCTCCTTTCCCTCCTCCTCCTCTCCTCCTTCTCTCCTTCCTCCTCTCCTTCCCTCCTCTCCTTCCCTCCTCTCCTTCCCTCCTCTCCTTCCCTCCTCTCCTTCCCTCCTCTCCTTCTCTCTCCTCTCCTTCTCTCCTCTCCTTCCCTCCTCTCCTTCCCTCCTCTCCTTCCCTCCTCTCCTTCTCTCCTCTCCTTCTCTCCTCTCCTCCCTCCTCTCCTTCCGCCTCGCCTCTCCTTTTCTCCTCTCCTTCCCTCCTCTCCCCCTTCCCTTCTCTCCTTCCCTCCTCTCCTTCCCTCCTCTCCTTCTCTCGCCTCTCCTTCTCTTCCTCTCCTTCCCTCCTCTCCTTCTCTCTCCTCTCCTTCCCTCTCTCCTTCCCTCCTCTCCTTCTCTCCTCTCCTTCTCTCCTCGCCTTCCCTCCTCTCCTTCCCTTCTCTCCTTCCCTCCTCCCTTCCCTCCTCTCCTTCCCTCCTCTCCTTCCCTCCTCTCCTTCCCTCCTCCCTTCCCTTCTCTCTCCTTCTCTCCTCTCCTTCCCTCCTCTCCTTCCCTCCTCTCCTTCCCTCCTCTCCTCCCCCCTCCTCTCCTTCCCTCCTCTCCTTCCCTCCTCTCCTTCTCTCCTCTCCTTCCCTCCTCCTCCTCCCTCCTCTCCTTCCCTCCTCTCCTTCTCTCCTCCCTTCCCTCCTCCCTCCCTTCCCTCCTCTCCTTCTCCTCCTCTCCTTCCCTCCTCTCCTTCTCTCCTCTCCTTCTCTCCTCTCCTTCTCTCCTCGCCTTCCCTCCTCTCCTTCCCTCCTCTCCGTCCCTCCTCTCCTTCCCTCCTCTCCTTCCCTCCTCTCCTTCTCTCCTCTCCTTCCCTCCTCTCATTCCTCCTCTCCTTCCCTCCTCTCCTTCTCTCCTCTCCTTCCCTCCTCTCCTCCTTCCCTCCTCTCCTTCCCTCTCCTCTCCTTCTCTCCTCTCCTTCCCCTCCTCTCCTCTCCTCCTCTCCTTCTCTCCTCTCCTTCCCCCTCCGCTCCTTCTCCCCCTCTCCTTCCCTCCTCCTCTCCTCCCTCCTCCTCTCCTTCCCTCCTCTCCTCTCTCCTCTTCCCTTCCCTTCTCTTCCTTCCCTCCTCTCCTTCCCTCCTCTCCTTCCCTCCTCTCCTTCTCTCCTCTCCTTCCCTCCTCTCCTTCTCCTCCTCTCCTTCCCTCCTTCCCTCCTCTCCTCTCTCCTCTCCTTCCCTCCTCTCCTTCTCTCCTCTCCTTCCCTCCTCTCCTTCCCTCGTACCCCACCAGTGCAAGGAGGACGTGGAGGATGTGCGGACAGAGGTGATCATTCTGGGTCTGCTGCGCGACCACCCGTGCATCATCAACCTGCATGACGCTTTTGAGGATGACAAGGTATGGGGCATGGGTATGAGCCATGACACACCGCCACCACCCGTGCATCATCAACCTGCATGATGCATTTGAGGATTGGGGTGCTTCTCAACCTCTGGTGAGCGTGTGAGCATGTGAGCATGGCACATAGCAAGCCCCCTGCTGCAACTGAAGAGTTGTGCGAGGCGGCCCAACCGTTTTCTGAGGCGCCTCGAAAAAGCTCTGCTGCTGCGACTTAAGAGTTGTGTGAGGCGGCCCACCGTGTTCAATGCATCTATGAGTTATTGTAGTGCTGGTAATGGGGGCTCTTGTTGGTCCACCGACTGCACCCCTCTCAACTCCTCACGACCACTCCACATTCCCTCCCCTCTCTCCCACACAGTACGTGCATTTGATCATGGAACTCTGTGAAGGGGGAGACCTGTTCGACCGCATCAAGCAGCGCGGGCAGTTCCCCAAGAGGGACGCCGCCCTGCTGTGCCCACCGATAGCACCCCTCTCAACCTCTCAGAGCCCCTCCTCTCTCTGCACTACCCCCTCTCCCATGCCCCTCTCTAACAGTACGTACACCTAATCATGGAACTTTGTGAAGGGGGAGACCTGTTCGACCGCATCAAGCAGCGCGGGCAGTTCCCCGAGAGGGACGCCGCCTTGCTGTGCCGCGGGCTGGCAGAGGCGCTGCTGCAGTGCGCCCGCAAAGGGGTGCTGCACCGCGATGTGAAGCCCGAGAACATTCTGCTGCGGTCCAAGGAATGCCACACGCGCATCAAGCTGATCGACTTCGGGGTCGCTGCCCTGCACACACCAGGTGAGAGAGAGGAGGCTAATGTTGCTCAGAATGGAAATTTGTGCACAGAATGTTACTCGCGCATCAAACTCAATGACTTTGGGGTTGCTTCCCTAGTTTTGAGGCGCCTCGAAACTAAATGTTACTCATGCATCAAACTCAATGACTTGGGGGTTGCTTCCCTGCACACTGCGGGTAGGGGGGAGGAGAGGCACACAGAAGATGAGGAGGAAGCATGCTCCAACCGCGCATGTGTCTGCCATCCACATCACCCCATCCATCAACTCACCCTTCCTCCTTGCATCTCCCCCCCCCCCCCCCCCCCCCCCCCCCCCTTGCTTGCATCTACCTTCACTATTGCACCCCCAGGTACCTTGGGAACGGTCCGGGCAGGGACAGAAGAGTACACAGCACCAGAGGTGCTGCATCGAGCCTATGGCCATCAATGCACATTGCTCCACCCGTACCCTATCCGTTCCTCCTCTGCCACTCTCTGTTTCTCCTCGAGAACGGACCGTGCGGGAACAGTGGAGTATACCGCACCAGAGGTGCTGGACCGAGCCTACGGCCCCGAAGCTGACACCTGGAGCGCGGGAGTGGTGCTTTACATTCTGACTTTTGAGTCGACTCAAAAGTCAACCGAGCCTACGGCCCCGAAGCTGACATCTGGAGCGCGGGAGTGGTGCTTTACATTCTGCTCTGCGGCTCCACCCATAAATTCTTCTTCCCTCCTGTGCGCTCTCTATTGCCCTTCAGGTACATTGAGAACAGACCGAGCGGGAACAGTAGAGTACACAGCACCAGAGGTTTTGGACCGAGCTTACGGCCCTGAGGCAGACATATGGAGTGCCGGCGTGGTGCTGTACATTCTGCTCTGCGGCTTCCCGCCGTTTTGGGCGGCGACTGACGCTGACTTGGAGCGCAAGATCCGGACGGCGCATGTGGATTTCCGGCACCCGAGATGGGCGGCGATCTCGGACGGAGCCAAGGATTTGATTCTGAGGATGCTGGAGAAGGATCCGAGGAAGAGAATAACTGCGCTAGAGATTTTTGGTAAGTGGTGGTGGCGTGTGCTTTTGTTCTTCTCTGCTGTTGATTTTTCGTCTCAGCTGTTTTTCTCCGCTGTTTTCCTCTGATTAAGAGTCAAGCTGTGCTGTTCCCTGCGTACTCACCTCTTCACTCGAATCCGTCGTACCTTGATCCTCATCATCCTCTCTTCATCCTTTCCACCTCCCATGCACCCACACTGTCAGCCCATCCGTGGATCAGAGCAGCGGAAAGCAGCTGAAATGAAAGTCACCTCTGACACCAACCAGGTGTTTTTTTGCTGCATACGACAGAGTGAGCAGCACTCCGCGTGCACTCACCGAAACAAACGAATCTTACATTATGTATATGCCAACTTATAAAATCCCACCTGACAAGATGCCTTGTCTTGGTTTGCTGTATTCCTAATATCTACAAAACCATTTTGAGTGTGCAAAGATAACCGTGGCATTACACTAACGAGTACGTCAAGTCCGTTGAACGCATCAATTTGTTTCCCGCGCAACACTCCACTCCCCTCCCCACGCCCGACGATTGTCGAGACCAACTGCCCAGTTTTCCAACATCGAGGAGATTTTTCTCGGAATAATCTCGTCTCCGTATGTACCTTTCATCACGACGTTCTATCGAAGGATAACCCTGCTATGCGACTTGACACCAAACGCCATACCCTACTGTAACCGAATCCTCAGTGGCTCGTTGCAGCATTTAGAGCAACGATGCGAGTTTCGAGTCGCAGAATGTTGGTCCCGCGGTTAGGTTCGTAGCCATACCATATAGTTGTCTCGATCATCAGCAACATTGCATTGGCATCACTGAAACCGCAGGCTCAGGAAGTCAGGTGTTCTCTGACACCACCAATTACTAGCTCTTGACCTTTTTCCTGTCGCTTCGTTTAGGAGTTGTTCCTTCTCACATTCTTTTTATCGAAGCCCATTGTTGGAGTCATGACGATGCGCTTCGCTATCTGGCAGGTAAGTGATTGCTGGCTCGCACCCCAGAGAAATTCTGCATAAATAAATCACTAAAAAAAATAATGAAAAACGTAATTTCCCATATTTTCTTCGCCTCCCATCATCCAATTTCCAGTACTCCTAGATGGATGCATATGAACAATGTTCTTTTTATACTGTAGCGGCCATGTGCGCAAACTTCTGCCACCGTTTACTTACAAACAAATTCGTCCTCATTGCGACAGCTCGTCCGTCAGTTATCCCTCGCCGTACCGGTCGTCCTGACCGTTAACGACAACGTCGTCAGCATGTGCGGTGTGGACGGCCACTCCATGTCGCCCACTTTCAACCCGCTACGCGACAAAACTGGCCTGCTATTCCGTGCCGCCCTGAGCGATCGCGTGCTTTTAGACAGGCTATCGGCGCGTTACATGCAGTACCAGCGCGGGGACGTGGTGGTTCTCAGGTGATTATATCGAGGGAAAATGGGGTGGGAGTGTAGAGGAGGAGGGACGAGAGAGGGGGGAGAGAAGAAGGGGAGGAGAGGGAGGAGAGAGAGGATCGAGAGGAGGGAAGGGGGAGAAGGGGAGGGGGAGATGGGGAAGAGGAGAGAGAGCTTTTTAGCTGGTGATGTCATGTTCCCAAGGGAATGATGAAAGGAAAGAGTTTTCTGCGAAGCGGAGAGAGAGGAGGGAGGGTGAAAGGTGATAAATATAGTCAGTGCAGGCCTGCCCTTCCAAGTCGTCCTCGCCCTCTTCCCCTCCACACTCCCACCCTTTGCAGCAGGGCACGACCAGTTTCTCCCACCCTTTGACTCATATTACTTTATTCTGTTCGCCTCCCTACCCCACTCTCCGTCTGCTTTCGTCGTTTTTATCCATCTGTTTTTTTTTATTCTTTAGTTTTCACAAAACGAATTCCCTTCGTGTGTTCCTCTCTTCCTCCTCCTCTCCCCTTCCTCCTGACCCTCCCCCGTGTAACAGTGCAGATCGCCTATTGATCCCGACGTGTGCCTCATAAAGCGTCTCATTGCACTACAGGACGACTGGGTAACAGTGCCGGGCGACAGTAGTGCTGACGCCAGCACCAGCGGAAGTGGCGCCAGCAGGGTTGATGACGTCATCAGGCGGATTCCTAAGGGCCACTGCTGGGTGGAAGGGGACAATGCTGATGTCAGCGAGGATTCTAAGCACTTTGGCCCGGTATGAGTGTAGGTGTGGTTGGTGGGTGGTGGGTGGTGGGTGGTGGGTGGTGGGTGGTGGGTGGTGGGTGGTGGGTGGTGGGTGGTGGGTGGTGGGTGGTGGGTGGTGGGTGGTGGGTGGTGGGTGGTGGGTGGTGGGTGGGAGTGTGGCTGTGGATATGGCTGTGGCTGCAGCTGTGGTGTGATTGGGTGTACTAGCAAGTGGCTTGGCAAGGCACGCTTTCTTGTTGAGGGGTGTTGTATCCAGCCAGTAGCTTCTCCCTCTTTGGCCATTCTGAAACGCCTCTCTCCTGCTCCGCAACCCCACCCCGGAACTCTCCCCTGCCCTGCATTGCCCCCCCTGTCACCTGCCAGGTGCCACTGGCACTCCTGGAAGGGCGGGTGCGCTGCATCGTGTGGCCTCTTGAGGGAAAACTGATCTCCCTATTTTGCAATTTCCTGCTCCTCCTCGCACACCCCCCCCCCCTCCCCCCACCCTTCTCTCTCACCTGCCAGGTGCCACTGGCACTGCTGGAAGGGCGGGTGCGCTGCATCGTATGGCCTCCACACAGAATAGGCGGAGTGGAGAGTCGAATGCCTGAGGGGAGAGTGCTGCCACTGAGGCAACAGCACTAGGAAGGTTCCTTGAAAGCCGATGCATGGTAACTGGAGGGCCAAGTGCGCTGCATCGTGTGGCCTCCGCACAGAATAGGGGGAGTGGAGAGTCGAATGCCTGAGGGGAGAGTGCTGCCACTGAGGCAACAACACTAAAAAGGTTTTTGGAAAATGGGTGTGCTTATGCGTGACCTTCACACGGAATGGGGGGGGTTGGAGGGTTGTCTGTCGGAGGGGAGAGTCCTGCCCCGCAGCACTGGGAGCAAGGAGCTGCTTCGAATCTGAGATGAGTGCGCTTGAAAGCGGATGCGATGCATTTATGGCCACCGATGGAATAGGGGCCACTGGGATGCCGTTTTGATGTATCAGCGCTCGGAACAAGAAAGTCTTTCAGCATGTGGGGTGAGGTGCCTTGCACCAGCATTGAAATTTGTAACAACATAGCAATTTGCAAGAGCATGAATTGCAACAGGTGCACGAAGTACGTGTGCAGTTAAAGCAGACGCAGCAGAACAGGAGATCGCTGATGTGGGATTGTGACTCGGAGATGACTTCCCATAATGCTCCTGCCAAACCAATTTCGTCCAGACATTCATATTCTGCCGCAGCACCATCTGAAATCCCTCCCGCAATTCGCAAGTCCTTTGCTGACTGTGCCTTCCTGCACCATGTCCCATCCCATCCCACTGACCAATCCTTTCTTCACCAACCTGTAACTTCTGCCCTCAATTCATGGCACAAGGCGATATGCCTCGCTCAGAAACTTCCAGCAAATCACTAGTTGCGTATGAACCATGGCATGATTCACGGCTCATGACCCTGCAGCGTATCCATCCCTTGTGCTCCCTTCCATGTCCCCTGCTTCATCCCCCATCCTCCCCCTCCTATCTCCTTCGCTCTTTTACTCCCATTTTCAAGGCACTTGTGTGATGTAACATGCCTGATTTGAATTTTCCTTCAAGCAAGTGCCATTCCTCTCTCTGTGCTCAGCCATCCCCATCTGCTTCCTTCAAATCAGCAGGCCCGCCTGACTGCTCTCTTCTTGCTCCAATCGCCTCTGCAAACCTTGATCCCAGGGCTGATTGGTCCCCCTCCTTCATCTGCCATTCTGCTGCTACTTGCTGCACCTGCCAGCAGTAAATAGCGAGCGATAAAAAAGAGCAGATTCAAGCGTTCAGCCTTGGCGATTCTTGAAGAGCGAGTGATTGCTAAGACAAAGTCTGATTGGTCCCCCTCCTGCATCTGCCATTCTGCTGCTTCTTGCTGCACCTGCCTGCAGCAGGCAGCGGCGATGTAGAAGAGCAGAAATATTTTTTCGCTTGTGGAAATTTATTGAGAAAGACTGCTAAGCCACCTACATGTTCATCCGCACTCACGCGCCCCTCTGCTGCTGCTAGTTGCTGCACTAACAGCAGCACACAAGAGTCAAGTCCAAGAAACTACAAGAGTGGTTCGTTCTTGGAAAAGCGCAGCTGCTTAACTAAAACAATTACCAAGACATAAATTACGGAGCCCTGAAAGTTGCTACGCAGATTGATATGGCAACAGAAGATATATGGAACCTGAAAACGGGTGAGTTGAGAACCAGAAGAAGGAAGATCCTGGTTAAGGATCAATGCCGTATTCATGACATACAAGCAGGGCATTACCTGGTGATTAAGAGGGGAGAGCCACTGAGCAATCGCATCAATTCGTGGTTGAATGGCAGCTTTCCCCTTCACTGGAAGGTCTTCAAGCTGGTGAAAAAAAGAGTGGAGGAGGGGTGAAAGGAACGCACGAAGTAAAATCGCATGCATGAGCAAAACAAAGATGTCAGAAGTGCCTTGAGAGCGAATCGAAGTCCACCTTCATTGGAATACCCTAAAGCTGGTGAAGGGATGCAGAGATAGAAACGCATCCACAAGCAAAGAGACAGGTGCCTCAAAGCTAAACGCTTTTTTTCTTCTTCTTCGCAGGAATGGCCTCACGCTGAACAAGGGCTGGAGACTCGCATACATGAGCAAGGTGTTATTCATGGGTGCCTTTTGAGGTGATTTTTGCAGCGCCTGAGAATAGATTGAGGTGATTAAGGCGATTAAAATTTTTACCTCAACGTAAACAAGGGCTGGAGGCTCGCATGCACGAGCAAGGTGTTATTCATGGGTGCCTCAAAGCTGAGTCGCTTCTGAGAATTCTCAAAAGCATGCGCGAGCAAGGTGTTATTCATGGGTGCCTCAAAGCTGAGTCGCTTCTGAGAATTCTCAAAAGCATGGACGAGCAAGGTGTTATTCATGGGTGCCTCAAAGCTGAGATGGATGATTGGGAGCAACACCAGCAGCAGCAACACCACCACATCAGGGCAGCACACACGCACACAGACACCTACACAAAAGGCCGCACACACACACACACACACACACACACACACACACACACACACACACACACACACACATTATCAGCAGCACCACCACACCAGCAGCACCACCACATCAGCAACACCACCACACCAGCAGCACCACCACACCAGCAGCACCACCACACCAGCAGCACCACCACACCAGCAGCACCACCACACCAGCAGCACCACCACACCAGCAGCACCACCACACCAGCAGCACCACCACATCAGCAACACCACCACACACAGCACCAGCAGCACCACCACACCACACCAGCAGCACCACCACACCAGCAGCACCACCACACCAGCAGCACCACCACACCAGCAGCACCACCACACCAGCAGCACCACCACACCAGCAGCACCACCACACCAGCAGCACCACCACACCAGCAGCACCACCACACCAGCAGCACCACCACACCAGCAGCACCACCACACCAGCAGCACCACCACACCAGCAGCACCACCACACCAGCAGCACCACCACACCAGCAGCACCACCACACCAGCAGCACCACCACACCAGCAGCACCACCACACCAGCAGCACCACCACACCAGCAGCACCACCACACCAGCAGCACCACCACACCAGCAGCACCACCACACCAGCAGCACCACCACACCAGCAGCACCACCACACCAGCAGCACCACCACACCAGCAGCACCACCACACCAGCAGCACCACCACACCAGCAGCACCACCACACCAGCAGCACCACCACACCAGCAGCACCACCACACCAGCAGCACCACCACACCAGCAGCACCACCACACCAGCAGCACCACCACACCAGCAGCACCACCACACCAGCAGCACCACCACACCAGCAGCACCACCACACCAGCAGCACCACCACATCGCTCACCGTTTGGACATCCAAGGCTCGAAACGTCGCTGCCACGGCCACCGCTCCTCCCCCTGCCACTATCACCGTCGCTATTGCAAACGACTTGGTCACTGCTCCCGTGCAGGAAAATGCAGGGAGACGGAGGGAGGGAAACACACTTGCAAACGACTTGGTCACTACTCTCACACAGGAAAACGCCAGAAAAGGTGGGAGGACGGTGGGAGGGGGACGGAGGATGCTAATATTGAGGAGCAAAAAAAACAAAAACAAAAACAACAACACTTATGCAGGAAAAACGAAACGGCAACGCGGGAAGTCAATGGGAGCTGGAGCGGGGTTGGGGAGACAGAACAGAGTAGGGAAGAGAATTGGAGGAGAGGCGATGCAAGCTACGAGCACGTCCAATGTTCACTCTCACTCTCCCACCCTCCCACACTCCCACTCTCCCACCCCTCCACTCCCCCACCCCTCCCACCCTACCACCCACCCATTCACCCTCCCATCGCCCTCTGACACACACCCATGAGGAGAGCCTGCGCCATCCAGCAACCCCCCCACACCCCCACCCTCCCCCGCCCATGTCCCCCACCCCTGCCCATGTCCCCCACCTCCGCCCATGTCCCCCACCTCCGCCCATGTCCCCCACCTCCGCCCATGTCCCCCACCCCCGCCCATGTCCCCCACCCCCGCCCATGTCCCCCACCCCTGCCCATGTCCCCCTCCCCTGCCCATGTCCCCCTCCCCTGCTCATCCGCCCCTCAATCCGCCCTCTGACACACACCCATGCGGAGAGCCTGCGCCATGCCCTCTGCTGTCGCCTTGTCCGGTCCACGTGGCCGCCTCTCATTGGCTGTGGAAGGAGCAGGTGCGTGCGCGCTGTCGAATGAAATCTGGTACCTAGGCGCGGCGCGTGGAGAGAGCAGGAGTGTGGAGGAGGGAGAGAGGCGTGTGGAGGGGGGACGCGTGTGGAAGGGGGACGCGTGTGGAGGGGGGACGCGTGTGGAAGGGGGACGCGTGTGGAGGGGGGACGCGTGTGGAAGGGGGGGGACGCGTGTGGAGGGGGGACGCGTGTGGAGGAGGCACGAACACGTCACAACAGAAAGGCCAGCAGGGGGACAGGGGGAGGGGGAAGTAGGGGGGAGCCGGGGGGAGTAGGGGGGAGCAAGGGGAAGCGGGGGGGAGCAGGGGGGAGTAGGGGGGAGCAAGGGGAAGCGGGGGGGAGCAGGGGGGAGTAGGGGGGAGCAAGGGGAAGCGGGGGGGAGCAGGGGGGAGCAGGGGGAAGCAGGAGAAAGGGAGAGGAAGCAGACAAGGAGGAGCACTGAGAAAACAGGAGAAAGCAGCATGCAAGGAAGACGAAACAGGAGAAAGCGGGGGGAAACGGGAGGAAGAATGAGGAAGCAGGATGACGCAGGTGAAAGCAGCAAGAAATGGGAGAAACGAGAAAAACGGAAGAAAAAGCAGGAAAAGGCAGGAAAAGGCTGGAAAAGGCAGGAGAAAGAAGACGGATGCAATAGAAAGCAGGGGGGGGGGAGGCAGCGCTTTCGGTAATATCATTCTGAACAACCCTGAAATAAGTGGATACCCAAGGGTAACCACAATGCTTCCACTGTCAGCATACTCAGCCTCTCGCCCCATCCAAGCCACGCTCCTAGAGTTACACACCCAGAAAATCGTCAAAAGCTCATTCACCGCACTCGCCCTCACTCCATCAGTCTGCACCGCACTCACTTGCCCCTGCCGAGCCGCGTCTGGGGAACATGCCCCACCGCCCCCTCCAATGCACTAGGCAATCCCCTGGCCACCCTGTTGACGTGTGCAGATCCACCTGGACCTGATCTGCTGACGTGTGCGAATCTATCATCACCTCCTCCATCATTTCTCGCTGCATCTCCAGATCCACCTGGCGAGTGCCTGACGTCCATTAACGGTTCTGATCGGCTCGCGAGAGGCAATCTATGGCTGAGAATTTCAGGGAGCACATCGACGGAGTTTTCAAGATTATTAGATGGAGGAGGGGACGCTGACGTGGCATTGCCATCGGTGGGATTACAGCTGTCTTCACTTTTATGTTGCGAACGCAACTCAGCAGAATCTCTTAATTTGCTGGCCTTCAACTCGCTTTCCTGACAAGCATGTGAAGCGGATAGACAGGCAAGAGATGAGATTCAAGGAGGAAATGTATAAGAAGGTGAAATACTAGGAAAGGCACACGCGGATACAAGAGAACAAGAAATAATGGAATTTTAGCTGAAACCTGACGTTACGAAGGGGACACGGAACGGGAACGAATAACCTGGATTCGAAAGGAAGGAAGTCCGGGGTTAAGTGGCGGGAGGAAAAGGTGGAAGGGGGGGGGGGGGGGGGGGGGGGGGGGGGTGGGGGAGAAGGAGAGAGGAGAGGAAAGACGGGTGGAAGGGACGAGGAAAAGGGCGGACGTGAGGGAAGTTACAGAGGGAAAGTGCGCGGGCCGGTGCAGTGAATGTTCTTACTTGCTTGAAGTAGCTGTTTTCCGATGCTCCACGTCTAAACCGAAGGAAGCTCATAGTTTTGAAGTAACGCGCGCGTGAATGAGGTATTAGCGCGAACCAAAGGAAGACGGCACTACTGAAACCCTCTTAAATTGGTTTCTTTCACTCTTTCTTATCATCTTTTCTCAGAAAAAAAGGCCCACGTCTGACGTCACGGAATAACAGCGTAAGTAACAACGGATGACTCTCTGGACTCGTAGCAACAGCAATTCGATACAAGGGAACAATCTAGTCGCCTCTGGAAAACAAAAAAAAAGTAATCGAATGGAAACACGGAGCGCACTTCATCCGAAAAAACCCCACCCCAAATTTCTACGCGAAAGATACTTTCGAAGTTGCTTTGGGGTTGCTGTTGTAAAGATATCTCTGGGAATGCCGGGCAAGATGCTTTTCTAGGTTTGGAATGCAGATTCGCGCGAGTACACTCCCACGATTCAGGAACCAACCAGCCTGCACCTGTATGTGGCTCGGGGGTGATGGCGAGTGGAGCTCCCACAATTGTGGAAGTTGTGGGTCATTGTTCAGCTCCCTACGATTGGTCAATCACAGGTGCAATTCGTAAGTTTCGCCAGTGAAATTAGGTTTGCAGACCCGTCATTGCTGTCCATGTAGCGAGACGTTGTCTCGCTCTAAATTTCAGGGTGCAGCTGTTACGATATGTGCGAGTATTTTTTTGTGATTATTACGGAAGTGTTATAGCGAGCTTCATTCACAATTGATAGCTACACTCTTTGTAGACATGGTTTAGGCTCACCATTAGGTTGCATAATGTATAATTTATAACAGCCGCATTCGTTATTCAATATTTTACAGTTTCGTTAATAATTGTAAGCAAATTTTGCAAAAATCAATTCACAAATTGTAAATTAAACCGGGAGCATTTAGGTACACTTTCCAGATGTTTAGTGACAATTTCAGTACTTACTATAAAATACAGCAGAAACAAACTTCATTGCAGACACAAAAAAAAAAAAATAACAAACACATCTAATGCTAGTATCAATTACAGGCTGCCTATTCCTAACATTGGCAAGAACCCCACCACCACACCAGCAGCACCACCACATCAGCAACACCACCACACCAGCAGCACCACCACACCAGCAGCACCACCACACCAGCAGCACCACCACACCAGCAGCACCACCACACCAGCAGCACCACCACACCAGCAGCACCACCACACCAGCAGCACCACCACACCAGCAGCACCACCACACCAGCAGCACCACCACACCAGCAGCACCACCACACCAGCAGCACCACCACACCAGCAGCACCACCACACCAGCAGCACCACCACACCAGCAGCACCACCACACCAGCAGCACCACCACACCAGCAGCACCACCACACCAGCAGCACCACCACACCAGCAGCACCACCACACCAGCAGCACCACCACACCAGCAGCACCACCACACCAGCAGCACCACCACACCAGCAGCACCACCACACCAGCAGCACCACCACACCAGCAGCACCACCACACCAGCAGCACCACCACATCGCTCACCGTTTGGACATCCAAGGCTCGAAACGTCGCTGCCACGGCCACCGCTCCTCCCCCTGCCACTATCACCGTCGCTATTGCAAACGACTTGGTCACTGCTCCCGTGCAGGAAAATGCAGGGAGACGGAGGGAGGGAAACACACTTGCAAACGACTTGGTCACTACTCTCACACAGGAAAACGCCAGAAAAGGTGGGAGGACGGTGGGAGGGGGACGGAGGATGCTAATATTGAGGAGCAAAAAAAACAAAAACAAAAACAACAACACTTATGCAGGAAAAACGAAACGGCAACGCGGGAAGTCAATGGGAGCTGGAGCGGGGTTGGGGAGACAGAACAGAGTAGGGAAGAGAATTGGAGGAGAGGCGATGCAAGCTACGAGCACGTCCAATGTTCACTCTCACTCTCCCACCCTCCCACACTCCCACTCTCCCACCCCTCCACTCCCCCACCCCTCCCACCCTACCACCCACCCATTCACCCTCCCATCGCCCTCTGACACACACCCATGAGGAGAGCCTGCGCCATCCAGCAACCCCCCCACACCCCCACCCTCCCCCGCCCATGTCCCCCACCCCTGCCCATGTCCCCCACCTCCGCCCATGTCCCCCACCTCCGCCCATGTCCCCCACCCCCGCCCATGTCCCCCACCCCCGCCCATGTCCCCCACCCCTGCCCATGTCCCCCTCCCCTGCCCATGTCCCCCTCCCCTGCTCATCCGCCCCTCAATCCGCCCTCTGACACACACCCATGCGGAGAGCCTGCGCCATGCCCTCTGCTGTCGCCTTGTCCGGTCCACGTGGCCGCCTCTCATTGGCTGTGGAAGGAGCAGGTGCGTGCGCGCTGTCGAATGAAATCTGGTACCTAGGCGCGGCGCGTGGAGAGAGCAGGAGTGTGGAGGAGGGAGAGAGGCGTGTGGAGGGGGGACGCGTGTGGAAGGGGGACGCGTGTGGAGGGGGGACGCGTGTGGAAGGGGGACGCGTGTGGAGGGGGGACGCGTGTGGAAGGGGGGGGACGCGTGTGGAGGGGGGACGCGTGTGGAGGAGGCACGAACACGTCACAACAGAAAGGCCAGCAGGGGGACAGGGGGAGGGGGAAGTAGGGGGGAGCCGGGGGGAGTAGGGGGGAGCAAGGGGAAGCGGGGGGGAGCAGGGGGGAGTAGGGGGGAGCAAGGGGAAGCGGGGGGGAGCAGGGGGGAGTAGGGGGGAGCAAGGGGAAGCGGGGGGGAGCAGGGGGGAGCAGGGGGAAGCAGGAGAAAGGGAGAGGAAGCAGACAAGGAGGAGCACTGAGAAAACAGGAGAAAGCAGCATGCAAGGAAGACGAAACAGGAGAAAGCGGGGGGAAACGGGAGGAAGAATGAGGAAGCAGGATGACGCAGGTGAAAGCAGCAAGAAATGGGAGAAACGAGAAAAACGGAAGAAAAAGCAGGAAAAGGCAGGAAAAGGCTGGAAAAGGCAGGAGAAAGAAGACGGATGCAATAGAAAGCAGGGGGGGGGGGAGGCAGCGCTTTCGGTAATATCATTCTGAACAACCCTGAAATAAGTGGATACCCAAGGGTAACCACAATGCTTCCACTGTCAGCATACTCAGCCTCTCGCCCCATCCAAGCCACGCTCCTAGAGTTACACACCCAGAAAATCGTCAAAAGCTCATTCACCGCACTCGCCCTCACTCCATCAGTCTGCACCGCACTCACTTGCCCCTGCCGAGCCGCGTCTGGGGAACATGCCCCACCGCCCCCTCCAATGCACTAGGCAATCCCCTGGCCACCCTGTTGACGTGTGCAGATCCACCTGGACCTGATCTGCTGACGTGTGCGAATCTATCATCACCTCCTCCATCATTTCTCGCTGCATCTCCAGATCCACCTGGCGAGTGCCTGACGTCCATTAACGGTTCTGATCGGCTCGCGAGAGGCAATCTATGGCTGAGAATTTCAGGGAGCACATCGACGGAGTTTTCAAGATTATTAGATGGAGGAGGGGACGCTGACGTGGCATTGCCATCGGTGGGATTACAGCTGTCTTCACTTTTATGTTGCGAACGCAACTCAGCAGAATCTCTTAATTTGCTGGCCTTCAACTCGCTTTCCTGACAAGCATGTGAAGCGGATAGACAGGCAAGAGATGAGATTCAAGGAGGAAATGTATAAGAAGGTGAAATACTAGGAAAGGCACACGCGGATACAAGAGAACAAGAAATAATGGAATTTTAGCTGAAACCTGACGTTACGAAGGGGACACGGAACGGGAACGAATAACCTGGATTCGAAAGGAAGGAAGTCCGGGGTTAAGTGGCGGGAGGAAAAGGTGGAAGGGGGGGGGGGGGGGGGGGGGGGGGGGGGGGGAGAAGGAGAGAGGAGAGGAAAGACGGGTGGAAGGGACGAGGAAAAGGGCGGACGTGAGGGAAGTTACAGAGGGAAAGTGCGCGGGCCGGTGCAGTGAATGTTCTTACTTGCTTGAAGTAGCTGTTTTCCGATGCTCCACGTCTAAACCGAAGGAAGCTCATAGTTTTGAAGTAACGCGCGCGTGAATGAGGTATTAGCGCGAACCAAAGGAAGACGGCACTACTGAAACCCTCTTAAATTGGTTTCTTTCACTCTTTCTTATCATCTTTTCTCAGAAAAAAAGGCCCACGTCTGACGTCACGGAATAACAGCGTAAGTAACAACGGATGACTCTCTGGACTCGTAGCAACAGCAATTCGATACAAGGGAACAATCTAGTCGCCTCTGGAAAACAAAAAAAAAGTAATCGAATGGAAACACGGAGCGCACTTCATCCGAAAAAACCCCACCCCAAATTTCTACGCGAAAGATACTTTCGAAGTTGCTTTGGGGTTGCTGTTGTAAAGATATCTCTGGGAATGCCGGGCAAGATGCTTTTCTAGGTTTGGAATGCAGATTCGCGCGAGTACACTCCCACGATTCAGGAACCAACCAGCCTGCACCTGTATGTGGCTCGGGGGTGATGGCGAGTGGAGCTCCCACAATTGTGGAAGTTGTGGGTCATTGTTCAGCTCCCTACGATTGGTCAATCACAGGTGCAATTCGTAAGTTTCGCCAGTGAAATTAGGTTTGCAGACCCGTCATTGCTGTCCATGTAGCGAGACGTTGTCTCGCTCTAAATTTCAGGGTGCAGCTGTTACGATATGTGCGAGTATTTTTTTGTGATTATTACGGAAGTGTTATAGCGAGCTTCATTCACAATTGATAGCTACACTCTTTGTAGACATGGTTTAGGCTCACCATTAGGTTGCATAATGTATAATTTATAACAGCCGCATTCGTTATTCAATATTTTACAGTTTCGTTAATAATTGTAAGCAAATTTTGCAAAAATCAATTCACAAATTGTAAATTAAACCGGGAGCATTTAGGTACACTTTCCAGATGTTTAGTGACAATTTCAGTACTTACTATAAAATACAGCAGAAACAAACTTCATTGCAGACACAAAAAAAAAAAAAATAACAAACACATCTAATGCTAGTATCAATTACAGGCTGCCTATTCCTAACATTGGCAAGAACCCCACCACCACACCAGCAGCACCACCACATCAGCAACACCACCACACCAGCAGCACCACCACACCAGCAGCACCACCACACCAGCAGCACCACCACACCAGCAGCACCACCACACCAGCAGCACCACCACACCAGCAGCACCACCACACCAGCAGCACCACCACACCAGCAGCACCACCACACCAGCAGCACCACCACACCAGCAGCACCACCACACCAGCAGCACCACCACACCAGCAGCACCACCACACCAGCAGCACCACCACACCAGCAGCACCACCACACCAGCAGCACCACCACACCAGCAGCACCACCACACCAGCAGCACCACCACACCAGCAGCACCACCACACCAGCAGCACCACCACACCAGCAGCACCACCACACCAGCAGCACCACCACACCAGCAGCACCACCACATCGCTCACCGTTTGGACATCCAAGGCTCGAAACGTCGCTGCCACGGCCACCGCTCCTCCCCCTGCCACTATCACCGTCGCTATTGCAAACGACTTGGTCACTGCTCCCGTGCAGGAAAATGCAGGGAGACGGAGGGAGGGAAACACACTTGCAAACGACTTGGTCACTACTCTCACACAGGAAAACGCCAGAAAAGGTGGGAGGACGGTGGGAGGGGGACGGAGGATGCTAATATTGAGGAGCAAAAAAAACAAAAACAAAAACAACAACACTTATGCAGGAAAAACGAAACGGCAACGCGGGAAGTCAATGGGAGCTGGAGCGGGGTTGGGGAGACAGAACAGAGTAGGGAAGAGAATTGGAGGAGAGGCGATGCAAGCTACGAGCACGTCCAATGTTCACTCTCACTCTCCCACCCTCCCACACTCCCACTCTCCCACCCCTCCACTCCCCCACCCCTCCCACCCTACCACCCACCCATTCACCCTCCCATCGCCCTCTGACACACACCCATGAGGAGAGCCTGCGCCATCCAGCAACCCCCCCACACCCCCACCCTCCCCCGCCCATGTCCCCCACCCCTGCCCATGTCCCCCACCTCCGCCCATGTCCCCCACCTCCGCCCATGTCCCCCACCCCCGCCCATGTCCCCCACCCCCGCCCATGTCCCCCACCCCTGCCCATGTCCCCCTCCCCTGCCCATGTCCCCCTCCCCTGCTCATCCGCCCCTCAATCCGCCCTCTGACACACACCCATGCGGAGAGCCTGCGCCATGCCCTCTGCTGTCGCCTTGTCCGGTCCACGTGGCCGCCTCTCATTGGCTGTGGAAGGAGCAGGTGCGTGCGCGCTGTCGAATGAAATCTGGTACCTAGGCGCGGCGCGTGGAGAGAGCAGGAGTGTGGAGGAGGGAGAGAGGCGTGTGGAGGGGGGACGCGTGTGGAAGGGGGACGCGTGTGGAGGGGGGACGCGTGTGGAAGGGGGACGCGTGTGGAGGGGGGACGCGTGTGGAAGGGGGGGACGCGTGTGGAGGGGGGACGCGTGTGGAGGAGGCACGAACACGTCACAACAGAAAGGCCAGCAGGGGGACAGGGGGAGGGGGAAGTAGGGGGGAGCCGGGGGGAGTAGGGGGGAGCAAGGGGAAGCGGGGGGGAGCAGGGGGGAGTAGGGGGGAGCAAGGGGAAGCGGGGGGGAGCAGGGGGGAGTAGGGGGGAGCAAGGGGAAGCGGGGGGGAGCAGGGGGGAGCAGGGGGAAGCAGGAGAAAGGGAGAGGAAGCAGACAAGGAGGAGCACTGAGAAAACAGGAGAAAGCAGCATGCAAGGAAGACGAAACAGGAGAAAGCGGGGGGAAACGGGAGGAAGAATGAGGAAGCAGGATGACGCAGGTGAAAGCAGCAAGAAATGGGAGAAACGAGAAAAACGGAAGAAAAAGCAGGAAAAGGCAGGAAAAGGCTGGAAAAGGCAGGAGAAAGAAGACGGATGCAATAGAAAGCAGGGGGGGGGGGAGGCAGCGCTTTCGGTAATATCATTCTGAACAACCCTGAAATAAGTGGATACCCAAGGGTAACCACAATGCTTCCACTGTCAGCATACTCAGCCTCTCGCCCCATCCAAGCCACGCTCCTAGAGTTACACACCCAGAAAATCGTCAAAAGCTCATTCACCGCACTCGCCCTCACTCCATCAGTCTGCACCGCACTCACTTGCCCCTGCCGAGCCGCGTCTGGGGAACATGCCCCACCGCCCCCTCCAATGCACTAGGCAATCCCCTGGCCACCCTGTTGACGTGTGCAGATCCACCTGGACCTGATCTGCTGACGTGTGCGAATCTATCATCACCTCCTCCATCATTTCTCGCTGCATCTCCAGATCCACCTGGCGAGTGCCTGACGTCCATTAACGGTTCTGATCGGCTCGCGAGAGGCAATCTATGGCTGAGAATTTCAGGGAGCACATCGACGGAGTTTTCAAGATTATTAGATGGAGGAGGGGACGCTGACGTGGCATTGCCATCGGTGGGATTACAGCTGTCTTCACTTTTATGTTGCGAACGCAACTCAGCAGAATCTCTTAATTTGCTGGCCTTCAACTCGCTTTCCTGACAAGCATGTGAAGCGGATAGACAGGCAAGAGATGAGATTCAAGGAGGAAATGTATAAGAAGGTGAAATACTAGGAAAGGCACACGCGGATACAAGAGAACAAGAAATAATGGAATTTTAGCTGAAACCTGACGTTACGAAGGGGACACGGAACGGGAACGAATAACCTGGATTCGAAAGGAAGGAAGTCCGGGGTTAAGTGGCGGGAGGAAAAGGTGGAAGGGGGGGGGGGGGGGGGGGGGGGGGGGGGGGGGGGGGGAGAAGGAGAGAGGAGAGGAAAGACGGGTGGAAGGGACGAGGAAAAGGGCGGACGTGAGGGAAGTTACAGAGGGAAAGTGCGCGGGCCGGTGCAGTGAATGTTCTTACTTGCTTGAAGTAGCTGTTTTCCGATGCTCCACGTCTAAACCGAAGGAAGCTCATAGTTTTGAAGTAACGCGCGCGTGAATGAGGTATTAGCGCGAACCAAAGGAAGACGGCACTACTGAAACCCTCTTAAATTGGTTTCTTTCACTCTTTCTTATCATCTTTTCTCAGAAAAAAAGGCCCACGTCTGACGTCACGGAATAACAGCGTAAGTAACAACGGATGACTCTCTGGACTCGTAGCAACAGCAATTCGATACAAGGGAACAATCTAGTCGCCTCTGGAAAACAAAAAAAAAGTAATCGAATGGAAACACGGAGCGCACTTCATCCGAAAAAACCCCACCCCAAATTTCTACGCGAAAGATACTTTCGAAGTTGCTTTGGGGTTGCTGTTGTAAAGATATCTCTGGGAATGCCGGGCAAGATGCTTTTCTAGGTTTGGAATGCAGATTCGCGCGAGTACACTCCCACGATTCAGGAACCAACCAGCCTGCACCTGTATGTGGCTCGGGGGTGATGGCGAGTGGAGCTCCCACAATTGTGGAAGTTGTGGGTCATTGTTCAGCTCCCTACGATTGGTCAATCACAGGTGCAATTCGTAAGTTTCGCCAGTGAAATTAGGTTTGCAGACCCGTCATTGCTGTCCATGTAGCGAGACGTTGTCTCGCTCTAAATTTCAGGGTGCAGCTGTTACGATATGTGCGAGTATTTTTTTGTGATTATTACGGAAGTGTTATAGCGAGCTTCATTCACAATTGATAGCTACACTCTTTGTAGACATGGTTTAGGCTCACCATTAGGTTGCATAATGTATAATTTATAACAGCCGCATTCGTTATTCAATATTTTACAGTTTCGTTAATAATTGTAAGCAAATTTTGCAAAAATCAATTCACAAATTGTAAATTAAACCGGGAGCATTTAGGTACACTTTCCAGATGTTTAGTGACAATTTCAGTACTTACTATAAAATACAGCAGAAACAAACTTCATTGCAGACACAAAAAAAAAAAAAAAACAAACACATCTAATGCTAGTATCAATTACAGGCTGCCTATTCCTAACATTGGCAAGAACCCCACCACCACACCAGCAGCACCACCACATCAGCAACACCACCACACCAGCAGCACCACCACACCAGCAGCACCACCACACCAGCAGCACCACCACACCAGCAGCACCACCACACCAGCAGCACCACCACACCAGCAGCACCACCACACCAGCAGCACCACCACACCAGCAGCACCACCACACCAGCAGCACCACCACACCAGCAGCACCACCACACCAGCAGCACCACCACACCAGCAGCACCACCACACCAGCAGCACCACCACACCAGCAGCACCACCACACCAGCAGCACCACCACACCAGCAGCACCACCACACCAGCAGCACCACCACACCAGCAGCACCACCACACCAGCAGCACCACCACACCAGCAGCACCACCACACCAGCAGCACCACCACACCAGCAGCACCACCACACCAGCAGCACCACCACACCAGCAGCACCACCACATCGCTCACCGTTTGGACATCCAAGGCTCGAAACGTCGCTATTGCAAACGACTTGGTCACTGCTCCCGTGCAGGAAAATGCAGGGAGACGGAGGGAGGGAAACACACTTGCAAACGACTTGGTCACTACTCTCACACAGGAAAACGCCAGAAAAGGTGGGAGGACGGTGGGAGGGGGACGGAGGATGCTAATATTGAGGAGCAAAAAAAACAAAAACAAAAACAACAACACTTATGCAGGAAAAACGAAACGGCAACGCGGGAAGTCAATGGGAGCTGGAGCGGGGTTGGGGAGACAGAACAGAGTAGGGAAGAGAATTGGAGGAGAGGCGATGCAAGCTACGAGCACGTCCAATGTTCACTCTCACTCTCCCACCCTCCCACACTCCCACTCTCCCACCCCTCCACTCCCCCACCCCTCCCACCCTACCACCCACCCATTCACCCTCCCATCGCCCTCTGACACACACCCATGAGGAGAGCCTGCGCCATCCAGCAACCCCCCCACACCCCCACCCTCCCCCGCCCATGTCCCCCACCCCTGCCCATGTCCCCCACCTCCGCCCATGTCCCCCACCTCCGCCCATGTCCCCCACCCCCGCCCATGTCCCCCACCCCCGCCCATGTCCCCCACCCCTGCCCATGTCCCCCTCCCCTGCCCATGTCCCCCTCCCCTGCTCATCCGCCCCTCAATCCGCCCTCTGACACACACCCATGCGGAGAGCCTGCGCCATGCCCTCTGCTGTCGCCTTGTCCGGTCCACGTAGCCGCCTCTCATTGGCTGTGGAAGGAGCAGGTGCGTGCGCGCTGTCGAATGAAATCTGGTACCTAGGCGCGGCGCGTGGAGAGAGCAGGAGTGTGGAGGAGGGAGAGAGGCGTGTGGAGGGGGGACGCGTGTGGAAGGGGGACGCGTGTGGAGGGGGGACGCGTGTGGAAGGGGGACGCGTGTGGAGGGGGGACGCGTGTGGAAGGGGGGGGACGCGTGTGGAGGGGGGACGCGTGTGGAGGAGGCACGAACACGTCACAACAGAAAGGCCAGCAGGGGGACAGGGGGAGGGGGAAGTAGGGGGGAGCCGGGGGGAGTAGGGGGGAGCAAGGGGAAGCGGGGGGGAGCAGGGGGGAGTAGGGGGGAGCAAGGGGAAGCGGGGGGGAGCAGGGGGGAGTAGGGGGGAGCAAGGGGAAGCGGGGGGGAGCAGGGGGGAGCAGGGGAAGCAGGAGAAAGGGAGAGGAAGCAGACAAGGAGGAGCACTGAGAAAACAGGAGAAAGCAGCATGCAAGGAAGACGAAACAGGAGAAAGCGGGGGGAAACGGGAGGAAGAATGAGGAAGCAGGATGACGCAGGTGAAAGCAGCAAGAAATGGGAGAAACGAGAAAAACGGAAGAAAAAGCAGGAAAAGGCAGGAAAAGGCTGGAAAAGGCAGGAGAAAGAAGACGGATGCAATAGAAAGCAGGGGGGGGGGAGGCAGCGCTTTCGGTAATATCATTCTGAACAACCCTGAAATAAGTGGATACCCAAGGGTAACCACAATGCTTCCACTGTCAGCATACTCAGCCTCTCGCCCCATCCAAGCCACGCTCCTAGAGTTACACACCCAGAAAATCGTCAAAAGCTCATTCACCGCACTCGCCCTCACTCCATCAGTCTGCACCGCACTCACTTGCCCCTGCCGAGCCGCGTCTGGGGAACATGCCCCACCGCCCCCTCCAATGCACTAGGCAATCCCCTGGCCACCCTGTTGACGTGTGCAGATCCACCTGGACCTGATCTGCTGACGTGTGCGAATCTATCATCACCTCCTCCATCATTTCTCGCTGCATCTCCAGATCCACCTGGCGAGTGCCTGACGTCCATTAACGGTTCTGATCGGCTCGCGAGAGGCAATCTATGGCTGAGAATTTCAGGGAGCACATCGACGGAGTTTTCAAGATTATTAGATGGAGGAGGGGACGCTGACGTGGCATTGCCATCGGTGGGATTACAGCTGTCTTCACTTTTATGTTGCGAACGCAACTCAGCAGAATCTCTTAATTTGCTGGCCTTCAACTCGCTTTCCTGACAAGCATGTGAAGCGGATAGACAGGCAAGAGATGAGATTCAAGGAGGAAATGTATAAGAAGGTGAAATACTAGGAAAGGCACACGCGGATACAAGAGAACAAGAAATAATGGAATTTTAGCTGAAACCTGACGTTACGAAGGGGACACGGAACGGGAACGAATAACCTGGATTCGAAAGGAAGGAAGTCCGGGGTTAAGTGGCGGGAGGAAAAGGTGGAAGGGGGGGGGGGGGGGGGGGGGGGGGGGGGAGGTGGGGGAGAAGGAGAGAGGAGAGGAAAGACGGGTGGAAGGGACGAGGAAAAGGGCGGACGTGAGGGAAGTTACAGAGGGAAAGTGCGCGGGCCGGTGCAGTGAATGTTCTTACTTGCTTGAAGTAGCTGTTTTCCGATGCTCCACGTCTAAACCGAAGGAAGCTCATAGTTTTGAAGTAACGCGCGCGTGAATGAGGTATTAGCGCGAACCAAAGGAAGACGGCACTACTGAAACCCTCTTAAATTGGTTTCTTTCACTCTTTCTTATCATCTTTTCTCAGAAAAAAAGGCCCACGTCTGACGTCACGGAATAACAGCGTAAGTAACAACGGATGACTCTCTGGACTCGTAGCAACAGCAATTCGATACAAGGGAACAATCTAGTCGCCTCTGGAAAACAAAAAAAAAGTAATCGAATGGAAACACGGAGCGCACTTCATCCGAAAAAACCCCACCCCAAATTTCTACGCGAAAGATACTTTCGAAGTTGCTTTGGGGTTGCTGTTGTAAAGATATCTCTGGGAATGCCGGGCAAGATGCTTTTCTAGGTTTGGAATGCAGATTCGCGCGAGTACACTCCCACGATTCAGGAACCAACCAGCCTGCACCTGTATGTGGCTCGGGGGTGATGGCGAGTGGAGCTCCCACAATTGTGGAAGTTGTGGGTCATTGTTCAGCTCCCTACGATTGGTCAATCACAGGTGCAATTCGTAAGTTTCGCCAGTGAAATTAGGTTTGCAGACCCGTCATTGCTGTCCATGTAGCGAGACGACGCCGCAATCCATGAGCTGTGCGGCGGACAGGAGGTTGAAGCGCAGGTTCTGGACGATCAGCACATCGTTGAGCGTGATGTGCGTGCGGCTCCCGCGTGCTTTGAGCACGACGATGCCTTGCGCGCTTGCGCGCAGGCGCGTGTTGTTTGCCACAGTGACATAGGTGGCGGTAGGAGTGGGGATGGCGTTGGATATGTAACGCTCGGAGCCCACCATATGCTGGCCGCAGCAGCTGTCCAGGTACCAGGTGTTGTAGCGCTTGTTGTCGTCACGGGCGAGCAGCGCCAGTCGCGGTGTGACGATGTGCGGAGTGTCGAACTTCAAAAATTGCTCGCGCGAGAGCCAATCAATTGGCGCCACCCGCATATCAGGTACGTGCGGGGGACTTTCAAGCAGCGGGACTGGAAGGTTCCAGTCTTGGTCGTCGTCGTCGGTGAAATCGTGGCGCGGGTTGAACGGGTTGTTGTTGGTGAACGCGCCAATGGGGTGCGGTGCCGGCTCGGGTGAAGGCGAGCGGGCACGGCGACGACGCGATTCGCTGGTCATGGCCATGTTGCTCATGACGTTGCGAGCTGGGGCAGTCGGTGACGGCTGCTGCTGCTGATGCTGAACCGCTGGATTTAGGTTGCGCACGGAAGGGGGCTGATACCCCTGGGCATGACGCGCGTCGCCTCGTGCGTCTTGACGGCCGGACCAGGTGCTCGGATTGGTCTGGCGAGGGCGGGATCGGTTCTTGCATCGATCCGCCAGATGCCCGAAATTTCTGCAGATTTTGCAGTAGAGGCGCCGTGGCTTTCGCTCTTCGGTGTTGTCGGCGTAGAAGGCGAGCCTTTCGCGTTCTCGTCGCGGCGCAGGTCGCTGCTGATCCATATCCCTCTGTTCGACGAGAAGGGCGGCGCAAAGGGCGGCCTCCGAGATGACCCCCTGCTGTCGAAGAAGCGCCTTGCAGGGCCGCCACTCTGGGCCGAGCCCTTGAAGCACGATATTCACGAAGATTTCTTCCGAAATCGAGCTTCCCAGCTTCGCGATTTGGTCGCGAAGGCTTCGACAGCGATTGATGTAGCTGTTGGCCTTCTCCCCTGGGGCCATTTTTGTTTCCAGTAGCTGCTGAAGCAGCCGGCTCGAGGAGACGGAGTCCTTCGGCTGATACACACCGTTGAGGTGTCGCCAGGCTTCAAGGGCTGGGGCGGCCGAAGTCTTGTATGAGCGTATGCTCAGTTGCTCCGTCGGTGCCATGTTCCGCAGGAGCACCCCGTACGCCATTAGGGACTCGTTGTAGTAGCGGGTCCTGGCGTCGTCCGTGTCGTCGGCAGGCTCCGCGTAGCTCCCGTCGAAATAGTGGAAGATTTGGGCGTTCTGCAGCAAGAGCTCCAACTCGAAGCTCCAGGTATAGAAGTCTCTGCCGTCAAAACAAGTACTTGTCTTTATTTTTGATATGCTCAGAAACTTTGATTGAGCAGAGAGAATGGGATGGGGAGCCTTAGGGGTTGAGCCATTGGTGTCGAGAGAGAATGTGTGCGGGGCGGCGTTCTGGCCAGTTGGGGCCGGTTGGGATGGTTGCGAGGATGTTCCCGCATCGCCGTTCCGCAATGTTTGGAGTCCTTGCTCCAGGCTGGTGAGTCGCTGAAGAAGTTGTGCGAGAACTTCGGTGCCGATCGTCGTCGTGTTTTCGCTTGTCGCGGCCGCGTTGGGTTGCGCTTCAGCCGTTAGATTGGTCTGACCACCAGATCCTCCGGCCATCTTCACTCGTGAGCGTGTGCCGGACGCCACTTTCCGAATGTCGCAATTTTCGGGAGTGGCAGTGCGAAGGATTCCTGAGCCGCTCTCATACCATGCTGAGATCAGAAGTTGATCGTAGCCCAGGATCTACCCAGGAAGGTTCGCACGCAGTGAGATAGTTTGGTGGGCCCTTGACCTCAATAGCAGAGTGAATGTAAAATGCTTTGAGATGAATAAAACATGCAAATACAACGATATAAATATGAGTACAGGGGAATACGAAACGACCTAGCTAGCCATGTACTCTAAGGGGTACATTCCCTTATTCGAATTCAAACCAACCGTGCGGCCCGAACAGTTACGAAACTGTTCCCGCCAGATTCATTGTCCCTGCAGCTGCCCGATGCCGTTTTTCTCCGACGGTCTAGATCCACCCTAACCGTCTGACGCTTCGAGTCAACTCTGACTCCTCGCATTCGTTCTCGATACTGCATGCCTCTTTGCTGCGGTGAGGAGTGCACAGTAATATCAAGTATTACTTTTTGTAACAGAATTGTGTCAGGATGAATTGGAGGGTATCAAAAGGGGAGGAGGGTGAGTCGTGGAATTTATTATCACAGCGCGCGCTCCAAATAGCCTTTGCGGAGGCACCTACCAGAAGGCTCCAGGGAGCCACCTGGCCAGCCCTCGAGGCGAGCGGAAAGAGCAAGAGCTCAGGAGGAGGAGAGCAGTGGAGGTGGCGGCGAGCGACAGATGAGAGGGCGGAGATCACCGCAGGAGCCACCCCGCATTCGTAGAAGATGTGAGAGATAGTCTCAGTGGGAGCAGAAGGACAGAATAGGCATGTCCCTCGATCAGCAGCAAAAGGGAAACGAGAACCCGAGGGAAGAGCACGAGTGAAGAACCGGTACAGGATGTCGCGTTGTAGGCTAGGTTGTTCTCGTAAAAAATCATGAGAGTAGTTCGGGATGAGAGGAGGAGGAGAGGGGAGGGCGCGGATCCAACGAACGTCATGGTCAAAGGGCAGCTGGGTGTAGAGGCGACGGCGAAGATCAGCTGCACTGGGACACCCGTCTTGTAAGATGTCAAGCCGCGCGCCGAGAACTGCACCTGTATAGTACGGACCTGCAAGCCAGGATCCGACGACGTAGACCGCTGTGAGGGCACCTATGTGGAAGGTGCCAGCGCCGAAAGATGAAAGGATTATGAACCGGTTGGGGAGGACACGATGGAGGGTGGCAGAGAGTGAAAATGGAGGGGAAAATGAGGTAACCTGGAGAGCGAGTGTTGGGGAAGAGTCAGCATCTTGCGTGGGAAGGAACCACTCCCCAGGGGCTGCTATAGGGGGAGGGGGGGAGCAAAGAGCCACCCACCAGGTCCTGGGGATGGCACGGATAAGTTCCCGCCAGACTCGTCGTCCAGAGGGGGTGTTGGCGGGGGAGCACGAGGATATGAAATCCTTAAAAGAGACCAGACCAAGTGAGTAGAAAGTGAGTGATACCAAATTGCCGACACGAACTTGCGAGGATAGGAGAAAGCGTTCACGCGAAAGAATTCCAAAGGGCTTTCCATTTGGTTTAAGAATGAATCGGTTGAAGGCGGCGGGTTCGGCCATTATGCACATTGGGTTAAGTCGAGGAGGGGAAATGATCGGAGTAATGTCAATTAATGCCTGAAGTTCAGCAAGCGATCGGCTCGGAGTGTCCGCTGGAAGAATACCCGATTGGAGGATGGCGGGGTGTGCTAGAAAACAATGGGTGCCAAAAGGAAGGCAGACGGCGGTTCTCGCCACCTCCTCAGACGGTGAAACACCGAAACGACGCAACGCACGCTGGGCGGCAAGGGCACGAATTTGAGTGGGGGTTGCAATTGCCCCGAGTCCACCGTGACGAATAGAGTTGTACAGGAGGCGATTGGGGATTAGGCGTACCCCAAGGCCGTGTTCCTTGAATCTAGAAGATGAGAGGAAGTTCCCGACCGTGATGTCGAGCCGTTTTATGATGTCGGGGGTGGGGGGTTGGAATCGACCAGGGAAAGAGAGGACGGAGTTA